TAATTCAAGTATAACAAAAACCAATCTATAGGAAATTGGTAATTAAGACTGTATTGGGATAGATCGTTTGTCTTAATTTGTATTATTTATTGATTACTTTACTAAATTATTTAATATTTCAATATAGTTATTGTGTTTACTTTTTCTCGTCAACAAGAATACATCGGTACAATCGAACTGTTGCAGATTCTATCACTTTTTTTGTATATAAGGTAGAGATGCAACGAAAGAAACAGAGGTAAATAGTAAATTATTGCGGAAGCGGATGCGGAAGCGGAAGTGTAATGATTTTAGCTCTTTAATGCAGTGGTCGTGCAACCTTTTCGCGAATATTTTGTTACAAATTTTGCATTTAGCACTTTCAGTTTAATATTAACAAAATAATCCCAAATGAAATTTCATTTTGGCTTCAAAATTGCACTTTTAACTTAAAATTTACACCACTGAGCAAACACTATACAAAAACGCTACAACTGTATTAGAATTTTCAAAATGAAATTATCAACAGAACTACAANCGTGCAGCCGGCTCCATCGAATTATAAGACGTTGTCACGTCAAAAAGCATGTTTTACATCCTTACGCAAAGATAATAGTACCTATTTTTCATAAACTACATACACACACACACACACTCACACTCACACACATAGTTCATTGTCAAAATACACAATCACATAACATTAATAACCACAATTGGCTGAAGAAGACCTTAATACAATAGATTAATAATGATAATAATATTTTTAAGTAGAGATGAGCCGGATACCCGGCGAATCCGATACTTTCTTTAAGATCCGGCAGAGTACCGGATAATGGCGCCGAGTAACCGGCAATTCCACGTAATTCCACCGGAGAGAAAAAGATAATTTAATATATTGGGATCCGTCAAATGGGCATACACCATCTGGTGACAAAATTTTTAACTCGAATGAGGGAAAAATTTACATAGGAAAGTTAAATCAAATAAAAAGTTAATATGTTCAGTGAAAAAGTGCAAAAGCACTTCAGACATAGATCTTCACTCTTCACCTACATTAACTACTTTCCAATAAAAACTAACCGTTTTATATATGTAAAAAATATATTCGGAAAATTAGAGAAAAAAGTAAACTAATAGAAGCTTGGATGAAAGCAGTAGGTATCAAAGANTCCCAAATGAAATTTCATTTTGGCTTCAAAATTGCACTTTTAACTTAAAATTTACACCACTGAGCAAACACTATACAAAAACGCTACAACTGTATTAGAATTTTCAAAATGAAATTATCAACAGAACTACAAGAGGGAGTTGAAAGAACTGGCCGTTTATAGATTAAAGTAGGAAACTAGTAAGAGAATAAAATTTGAAAAATATCAACATAGGAAATATATTTACTCCTAATTGTTACTGAAAAATTTAAGCAAATAGACTAGAAAATGAAATAACAACGACATAATATGATGACAATGACATGATACGAAATAGCTTTGGCCAACTTTTCCTTTAACAAAAACCCGCATTGGATCGCATCGCGTTTTATACATAGAAAGCCGAACAGACAGCCAACTATCTGTTTTTATTATTATTACTTTTTTCTTTTCGATCGCGTGCTTGTAATATTACACGGCAGCCAGCATCATTCAACACAAACAAAATCCACTGCAGTTGTTATTACGTAAAATTTGACTTCACGTATGGATGTACCGCGGTGCAATTAGTTGAAATGCCTCCGTTTTTTCTTTAATCTTCCGGAAACAGCGACCGGCTAAGTATCTGAAATGAAAGCAGGGAAATCCGCTTTGATGCATGTGTTTCGTTCGAATTGAAAAGTCAATAATAACATTACGAGCCGAACCGAATAAAAATATCAGTATTGGTCTCCGTGGATATAAAAGAAATTTGTTCATACGTAAGTAACGAAGTTGATGAATAGTATTCGGGGTCAAACAAAAATCGGTTGTCTGTAAAGTCGGTTTACTGACGATAGTTGAGCGTGACAACGTCATAAGAAAATACTGATGGAATGGTTTCATTTTTGAAAAGAAAATTTTAATTTTATTTGTTTGATAGATATTTTGTATGGATATAGAGAAGAAGGTAAATGGAAATGTATTATTGTATAGCAGCTGTCCACGCGGACGCATCGCTCACTCAAATAGGAGAGAGACAGATGTCGAACGCTGCCGAACGCGGAGGCCGATTGTGCCTCTTTGTCGCTCGTTCCGCGCTCTCGCTTGCACTTCAAGCCTTAAATGGAACGCCTCAGAGCGAGGTAACGCCGCATGAGTCATGTTTTTTCGTGCGTGCAGCCGGCTCCATCGAATTATAAGACGTTGTCACGTCAAAAAGCATGTTTTACATCCTTACGCAAAGATAATAGTACCTATTTTTCATAAACTACATACACACACACACACACTCACACTCACACACATAGTTCATTGTCAAAATACACAATCACATAACATTAATAACCACAATTGGCTGAAGAAGACCTTAATACAATAGATTGAGGTAGAGGGGTTTTAATTGGTAGGTCCGAGGCATCTTCCTCCCTCAGAGATCCGACACCACCCAGCCGTACGGACGACTGGGTGTCTTTCGAAGATTTTCCCTCTTAGTAGTAGTACGCGTCAGAGAGTTCGAAGCGATAATATCGAAGAAAAAGGAGCGAAGAAGTGACAATGAGTTCATACAGCGATTGATTAATAACTGATTGGTAATAGAAGTGTTAATTAGACAGCAAATACTTAAATAAAAGAAGTAAATACGTGATTCTCGTGATGGGTAAATCCTGAATACGCGACTCAGGTTTCTTTTGTCATGTCGCAACATTTTTGTAGTTACTGCCTTTTTGATTTGATTCATAGAGTTAGCGAAATTTGCCTTTACTATGGAAAACTTTAATATTTTACAGAACAAAGATGCTATAGACTTCAGTATTCGATATTAATTTAAGCCGTTCCTGAATAAAGGGTCTTTACGAACAGACACTGGGACAACACAGTTACCCTATAAAATTCAAAATGTAAATTAATTTAATTTTTCGTACTTTTTTTGGCATAAATTACAGTGACAGAATTTGACCTAACTCTTACGGTATGAATTTCTGTTCATGCCTTGCTGTCGAGTTTGAAAGTAATATTTGTGCAAAAAATGAAATATTATAAGTAAATCGAATTAACTCGACATAAATTAAGATTAACGCGACTATAACTGAGTAATAAAACTAAAATAATTTTTATTAATGACCTCTGAAAATTTTGTCGGTTTACTTATTTCACGTTTATGATGAATTATTATATAAATCATCATAAGGCCGTCAGTCCTAAGGAAGATGGGACAAGCACCTCTATTTTCTTTCCTATACTGAGCTAATCTTCGCATTTCCCTAAAATTATTTCACTATTTGTGAACAGTAATCCAATCTAAGTCTACCTCTACTCCTTTTAATTCCTATTTCTTTTCCTAATACATCTCTGACTAGCCCTTCATGCCTGAGAAGGTGTCCTACCAACCTATTTCGTCTATATATTATTGACTTCCATAAAGTCCTCTATTATCCTATTCCTCCTAATACCTCTTAATTTCTATCCTTCTCTATCCACGATATCGTCATCATTCGCCTGTAACACCACATTCCGAACACTTCCAACTTTTTCTTTACCACCGCGCCCAGACATCTTTAAATTAACCGTTCGCAAACATAAAAGTGACTCGACCCTGCACTACCCCTTACTTCATATCTCTACGGCTCCTTCCATCCTGAGTTATCTGGCTTCCTAGACACCGAAAATCAGCCACTTTTTCCAATATTTCGTCTCCTATCTTTATATTCGTTCTCTCCTTACCTTTTCTTTCCTTGCATACCACTTTTGTTTTACTTTCTTCTATTTTCATAGAATACTGCTTCAATTTTATTTAAAGCCATCTCTAACTCCTCCTTTCTAGATGCTAATACTGCTATATCATCTGCAAATCTAAGCATACTAATCTTTTACCCCTGTATATCTATCCCTACAGCTGTGCTGTCTTTAATGATGTCGATCGCGTCTTCGATATATCGATTAAAAAGTAGCCGTACACTTTGTAATAAATCCTTACCCTATTGTGCAACTTTATGGGTAGCACAATAAACAAAACCTATCAAGCATTTCCGTTTCAATTAACCAGAATCGTATTTAATTCGAAAAGCAAATTCGGCCGGTTTATTTCGCCAATAATAAACAATGACACTGTAGTCGTTAGTGAATTTATCTTTTCCAAATATCAGTTACACAATCGCCGGTATAACCGTTCGAATTCCATGGCACACTGCAATTTACGTGTAAACATGCGATATCGTTTACCGTACGGCTAAAATTCCGCAAAGGCGTTAAATATGGATGGCGTACAAATTAATTAGCGAAAATCCGCATAGCAATTAATTAATTACTCCATTCGCGATCATAATTTTGGACATTATTCAAATCGACTTAATATACCAACGAATAACGATGAGATAAATCTTTTAACGGTAACGTTATGGAGAAAAAAGGGTACTTGTATTTGAAGATAGTTTAAAAACATCACGGAGAAAATGAAAAAGGAAAATTTACCTAAATATTAAAGCGATATTTACAATGTATCCCATTAGCCCATTGCTTCGTAAGCGCAAATAATAAAAATTGCAATTTGGACACGAGATTGTATTATGTTGATGTTACAAATTAAATTGTAATCATTAAAAAACTTGAAATAATATATTAAAAAACATGTCAAAATTGAGATTATTACAAGTTTTACGATTTCTACGGCAAATTCAGTCATTTACAAACGAAAATTGTAGTTTTTGCATTGTCATAAAAATTTAGTTTTTTCCGTGATTTCTTAAATCATTGTACCTAAACTAATAGACTTTCATGCAAGATCTATAAAAGAACCAATCATTGCTTGCGCCACCCCCTTTAAATAATTCAACGGAAAATAAATCTTTTTCCAGCTTTTTAGGCAGACGGCGCATAAAAAATTAATCGAATAAGTTCTCTCTTCAGTCAGAATTGTTTTAAATTAAATTTCGTTAAATATTTAATCAATAAAAGCATTAAAAGTTCAAGGAACATGTAACTGGCGGTTAACCATTTTTAACATATTGAAATATACTACACAATAACGTAATACTAAAAAAAATACGCGGTCGTATTTATAATTGATAAAAAAAGTTCAGTGTCATGGTAAGTTGTTGTTTTTGCCAAAAACATGAATAGATATTCAATTTCCTGTGTATAAAAAAAATACAAACTGAAGAGATACTTTCAATTCTTTTACATATTTTGTATTTAAAACCTGCTAAAAATGCAACTAAAGTTTAAAATTGGATGAACAGTAATTTGGTCCAATTTTCACCTTCATTTTTGAAAATTCGAATTAATTAAGAGTAAAAAATATATACCTGTTTACGTAAAAATTAAACCCTTACGAATAGTGGTCCAGTCAAAAATTCTTATTTAACAACTTGCTAAAGGTATTAACTGCTAAAGCTCGTTTAAAATGGTCGTAGTTAGCGTTTAAATTCGTTCAGGAAGACTTCATATACTTAAAAGCACTACTTTTCGAAAAAACTACTCAGCGATGATAAAAAATTCACAACAATACACGGGCAAAAAAGAGGTATCGCGTAAGCACTTTTATGAAACACTGTTTTTATTAAAACGAAGAAAAGTTCAAGTTTTCTTTAATTATAATTTATCTTAGTTCCGCGCAATTCTCGCGCTCTCGAAAAACCACCAACCGCAACAGAAGTAGTCCAGCAGTGGCTTCAACAATCGCCGATCGCCGCATTGTTGCAACACGGATCACGATTCGTTGCCAACAGGTGAAGTTAGCAGCAGGCCAAGCAGGAACGGGTTGGCGCGCGCTATCCGTAAACTGCACCGCTATTTAGCAATCGGCGTTCACGGGAACGCGCACGCGCCAGTCAATGCGGACCACCTGAGCTCCCGAATCCTGCTGCCAGCCGCCTCCATCGGCACCCGGCCTGCTGCGATACTGCAGCACGCAACAAGCGCATCCACGGCTGGCTGATTATCCTGCAGCAAGCGATCCATCATCGCTACCACCAGCTGGCTTTCTCTTAGCTCGTTCATCAACTACAATACTACATTTCTACCGCTATTTCCATTGCATCAGACTGGGGAATCCCGCAGTGACATTTTAAAACTAGAAATTAAAAGTTCGGATTCGAACCATAACTGTAACGCCGTTTCCGGAAGCAATTGTTTTATACGTAACAATGTGACATGTTATTGTTGGAACAAATCCAGAACAAACAAAAAGAAACCAAGTCACGCGTTTCAGCAATAAAAAAAAATGAATACTACTATTGCAGTTTATCGATCACTTCTAGATGGCGTTCGGAAATAACCCAACCTAACCTGCCAATAAATATATATCTACGGTCTTTATTCTATTCTGCCANCCACCCAGCCATACGGACGACTGGGTGTCTTTCGAAGATTTTCCCCCTTAGTAGTACGCGTCAGAGAGTTCGAAGCGATAAAAAGCGAAGAAGAAGGAGCGAAGAAGTGACAAAGCGTTCATACAGCGACGGATTAATAACTGATTGGTAATATAATCGTTAATTAGACAGCAAATACTTAAATCAAAGTAGTAAATACGTGATTCTCGTGACAGGTAAATCCTGAATACGCGACTCCGGTTTTTTTTTGTCATATCGCAACATTTTTGTAGTTACTGCCTTTTTGATTTGATTCATAGAGTTAGCGAAATTTGCCTTTACTATGGAAAACTTTAATATTTTACAGAACAAAGATGCTATAGACTTCAGTATTCGATATTAATTTAAGCCGTTCCTGAATAAAGGGTCTTTACGAACAGACACTGGGACAACACAGTTACCCTATAAAATTCAAAATGTAAATTAATTTAATTTTTCGTACTTTTTTTGGCATAAATTACAGTGACAGAATTTGACCTAACTCTTACGGTATGAATTTCTGTTCATGCCTTGCTGTCGAGTTTGAAAGTAATATTTGTGCAAAAAATGAAATATTATAAGTAAATCGAATTAACTCGACATAAATTAAGATTAACGCGACTATAACTGAATAATAAAACTAAAATAATTTTTATTAATGACCTCTGAAAATTTTGTCGGTTTACTTATTTCACGTTTATGATGAATTATTATATAAATCATCATAAGGCCGTCAGTCCTAAGGAAGATTGGACAAGCACCTCTACTCTTTCCTATACTGAGCTAATCTTCGCATTTCCCTAAAATTATTTCACTATTTGTGAACAGTAATCCAATCTAAGTCTACCTCTACTCCTTTTAATTCCTATTTCTTTTCCTAATACATCTCTGACTAGCCCTTCATGCCTGAAAAGGTGTCCTACCAACCTATCTCGCCTATATATTATTGACTTCCATAAAGTCCTCTATTATCCTATTCCTCCTAATACCTCTAAATTTCTAACCTTCTCTATCCACGATATCGTCATCATTCGCCTGTAACACCACATTCCGAACACTTCCAACTTTTTCTTTACCACCGCGCCCAGACATCTTTAAATTAACCGTTCGCAAACATAAAAGTGACTCGACCCTGCACTACCCCTTACTTCATATCTCTACGGCTCCTTCCATCCTGAGTTATCTGGCTTCCTAGACACCGAAAATCAGCCACTTTTTCCAATATTTCGTCTCCTATCTTTATATTCGTTCTCTCCTTACCTTTTCTTTCCTTGCATACCACTTTTGTTTTACTTTCTTCTATTTTCATAGAATACTGCTTCAATTTTATTTAAAGCCATCTCTAACTCCTCCTTTCTAGATGCTAATACTGCTATATCATCTGCAAATCTAAGCATACTAATCTTTTACCCCTGTATATCTATCCCTACAGCTGTGCTGTCTTTAATGATGTCGATCGCGTCTTCGATATATCGATTAAAAAGTAGCCGTACACTTTGTAATAAATCCTTACCCTATTGTGCAACTTTATGGGTAGCACAATAAACAAAACCTATCAAGCATTTCCGTTTCAATTAACCAGAATCGTATTTAATTCGAAAAGCAAATTCGGCCGGTTTATTTCGCCAATAATAAACAATGACACTGTAGTCGTTAGTGAATTTATCTTTTCCAAATATCAGTTACACAATCGCCGGTATAACCGTTCGAATTCCATGGCACACTGCAATTTACGTGTAAACATGCGATATCGTTTACCGTACGGCTAAAATTCCGCAAAGGCGTTAAATATGGATGGCGTACAAATTAATTAGCGAAAATCCGCATAGCAATTAATTAATTACTCCATTCGCGATCATAATTTTGGACATTATTCAAATCGACTTAATATACCAACGAATAACGATGAGATAAATCTTTTAACGGTAACGTTATGGAGAAAAAAGGGTACTTGTATTTGAAGATAGTTTAAAAACATCACGGAGAAAATGAAAAAGGAAAATTTACCTAAATATTAAAGCGATATTTACAATGTATCCCATTAGCCCATTGCTTCGTAAGCGCAAATAATAAAAATTGCAATTTGGACACGAGATTGTATTATGTTGATGTTACAAATTAAATTGTAATCATTAAAAAACTTGAAATAATATATTAAAAAACATGTCAAAATTGAGATTATTACAAGTTTTACGATTTCTACGGCAAATTCAGTCATTTACAAACGAAAATTGTAGTTTTTGCATTGTCATAAAAATTTAGTTTTTTCCGTGATTTCTTAAATCATTGTACCTAAACTAATAGACTTTCATGCAAGATCTATAAAAGAACCAATCATTGCTTGCGCCACCCCCTTTAAATAATTCAACGGAAAATAAATCTTTTTCCAGCTTTTTAGGCAGACGGCGCATAAAAAATTAATCGAATAAGTTCTCTCTTCAGTCAGAATTGTTTTAAATTAAATTTCGCTAAATATTTAATCTATAAAAGCATTAAAAGTTCAAGGAACATGTAACTGACGGTAAACCATTTTTAACATATTGAAATATACTACACAATAACGTAATACTAAAAAAATACGCGGTCGTATTTATAATTGATAAAAAAAGTTCAGTGTCATGGTAAGTTGTTGTTTTTGCCAAAAACATGAATAGATATTCAATTTCCTGTGTATAAAAAAAATACAAACTGAAGAGATACTTTCAATTCTTTTACATATTTTGTATTTAAAACCTGCTAAAAATGCAACTAAAGTTTAAAATTGGATGAACAGTAATTTGGTCCAATTTTCACCTTCATTTTTGAAAATTCGAATTAATTAAGAGTAAAAAATATATACCTGTTTACGTAAAAATTAAACCCTTACGAATAGTGGTCCAGTCAAAAATTCTTATTTAACAACTTGCTAAAGGTATTAACTGCTAAAGCTCGTTTAAAATGGTCGTAGTTAGCGTTTAAATTCGTTCAGGAAGACTTCATATACTTAAAAGCACTACTTTTCGAAAAAACTACTCAGCGATGATAAAAAATTCACAACAATACACGGGCAAAAAAGAGGTATCGCGTAAGCACTTTTATGAAACACTGTTTTTATTAAAACGAAGAAAAGTTCAAGTTTTCTTTAATTATAATTTATCTTAGTTCCGCGCAATTCTCGCGCTCTCGAAAAACCACCAACCGCAACAGAAGTAGTCCAGCAGTGGCTTCAACAATCGCCGATCGCCGCATTGTTGCAACACGGATCACGATTCGTTGCCAACAGGTGAAGTTAGCAGCAGGCCAAGCAGGAACGGGTTGGCGCGCGCTATCCGTAAACTGCACCGCTATTTAGCAATCGGCGTTCACGGGAACGCGCACGCGCCAGTCAATGCGGACCACCTGAGCTCCCGAATCCTGCTGCCAGCCGCCTCCATCGGCACCCGGCCTGCTGCGATACTGCAGCACGCAACAAGCGCATCCACGGCTGGCTGATTATCCTGCAGCAAGCGATCCATCATCGCTACCACCAGCTGGCTTTCTCTTAGCTCGTTCATCAACTACAATACTACATTTCTACCGCTATTTCCATTGCATCAGACTGGGGAATCCCGCAGTGACATTTTAAAACTAGAAATTAAAAGTTCGGATTCGAACCATAACTGTAACGCCGTTTCCGGAAGCAATTGTTTTATACGTAACAATGTGACATGTTATTGTTGGAACAAATCCAGAACAAACAAAAAGAAACCAAGTCACGCGTTTCAGCAATAAAAAAAAATGAATACTACTATTGCAGTTTATCGATCACTTCTAGATGGCGTTCGGAAATAACCCAACCTAACCTGCCAATAAATATATATCTACGGTCTTTATTCTATTCTGCCAAGAAATTTTGAACTAAAACCGCAGCAATGAAAAAACTACGAACAAAAGGTCAAGGTCTCAATCATTACACATTTATTATTTATTAAAAAGCATTCACCAAATACTGCGTTTATATCCGAAATATTCACGATGTCCAGCACCTCCACCAAAAGTGAACAAAACTATTCATAATAATACCGAGCAAATTATCTAATATATTCTTTTAAAGAAATGATAACTGACAGAAAAGCAATGAAACTGATCAATTTCTTCTCTTAAAAAGAGCAAAACCCCATAGACAGCACTTCCTACATAAGTTACAATTTAAGCGCAATGAGAAGCTTTGTCTAAGAAAAACTTCATCTTCCAATAAGTAGACAAGAAAAACAGTTATATAAGGATTCCATTTTTCCTTATCCTTATTTCTTAAATTATCAGGTACATCCCTCCTTTCATACCATGAAAGAAAAATTACCTGACATCACTTTAAATGAGACGTCAAAAAGTTAAAAATTATTATGAAAAATTCCTCGCACAAGAACATTTAATAAAATTTAACCAATCCATACTTTTTAACGTTTAAAAATTATAAAAATCCAACTAAATGCGTTTATATACTTTATCTTCCTTAATAAATACGAAACGTTAGAAAAATTCCCAGACCTTCTCAGTATCATGAATCACTTCTTTGCCGCTTGGGTTTTCTTTTACTTATTTTTTTCTTCGCGAAAAGATAAATGTTGCGCACTTTCGGTTTTATTCGCCTAACCAGGCAAAAAACGATAAAACGGATTCATACGCAAAAATAATGCCCTAATGCAGTAATAGAGCGAGTTAAATACGTGCATGTACGTATTACATAGATATCTACTTGAAAAATGTAGCATTTCCCAAAGACGACTAAACAACTAATAATAAGAAAACTACAACTAATTGAACCTTAACACGGAAATGAGAATATGCACGTCAAATACAGTGTACCAATCAAAGAAACTAATTCATTTACATAACCAAGGTTAAGATACTTTTTTGAAGTGATGCTTTTCTTTTAGCGCATTGAAAATAAATTTTTAGCATGCAACGGAACTAGCGCGCGCATCATGCGACGGAAGCAGGCAACGGGCAGCCAAGAAGACTACAAAAGGATTCAACTATTTTCGCTATAAAATCAATCTTCATGATGAATGTGAATGACGAGGATAGTGAAATGTTGAAAGGGTTATTAAACAAAATATGAAAGGAAGGGAAATTACTAAACAAAATCGAGGATAAAATGGATATTGGGATAAACCTGAGAATTACAGAGCAGTCTCGTTATTAGATATGGGATATAAAGTAATGATAAACATTTTAGCGAATAGGATTAGTTATGAGGTTGATAACGAAAATAAATTAAATAAAGGTCAGGCAGGATTTAGATAAAAGGGGTGGACGAGAGATATCATGTATTTATGTTACATTCGATGATTCGATAATAAATAATAAGATAAAAGTAGGTAAGATTTGGAAATTCGGAATTAGAGGTAAAATGCATATGAATCTTACAGACAGACAACCGGGAAGGTACAAGTGAGTAGCAATGAAGTTAAATACCAACACGGAAGCAGAGATGTGATTAATGTGAAATACTTGCATTTAAAATGCAAATACAAAATAAAAAATAACTATTTTTATCTTGCATTTAAATACTTTTTTGAAAATAGCATTTTGTATTTTATTTAAAATACTTTTCCAAACGTATTTTCCATTTGTAAAACGCAAAATACATTTTTGCCGTTAAACGTTTTGCTAGTATCGCGGATCAAGAATTATATAAAATGACGAATGAAAGTTGTTCACATTGCCTATTGAAGGTATTAGAATCTTAAAAAGGGACAAAGAGACATTCCGTGAATCCCTTTTAATTCTTTAACTGAATAGAGCTCAAAAAATTATAAACTCCTTGGATTTGAATTATCTAAAATATTAGATCGATATTGTTTTCCGAGTTCAATGTCATAGTCCATGGAATTTTGAACTACGAAATTCTATGAATTACGACAAAACAGCCCACAAAACAATATCGAATTGATATACACCAGCTGCGTAAAACTGAAAACTGCAAGATATTGTGATGTGCTAATAAATGCCTATAATCCAAAATTTTCAGAAAACGATTCGAAAAACTTCACTTATTAGATGAGCACAAAGCTAAAGAAACTATGGATTCCATTTTTTTCTCTTATTATAATGTGTACTAGATCAGAAACGAAATTGGATTGTAAATATTTTGATATAAAATGATTAATGTTGATTTTACATCAATAAAATTATTTGCAACCCTATTTTGACTCTGATCTTCACGCTAAACAAACTATTTTTGCATCAGTATCTTTTTTTATAATTAAAACGAGTGACAAAGGCAAATAAAGAAACATATAGAAGAATTATTTGTAGCTGAACTGAAGAGACTATAACATAAGGATAGAAAAACTATATCTCAATCACTTCAAACAGAAAACTACTCAAAGTATTAGTCTAGAAAAACTCGAATATTTAAAAAATGAGCAAATGCCCGCAAGGTTTTCTTAAAGAATATTCTATACTTAAATAAATGTAGGTACTACAAAAAAGTATTTCTTTGAAAAAAATATTTTGAAAATACGTATTTTGATTTTAGCATTTAAAATACAAAAGAGAAATCTACTTTGTATTTTGCATTTGAAATAACAAATCAAAAAAGTATTTACGTTTTGTATTTAAATACTTCCAAAACAAACATTTTGCACATTCTACACGGAAGTAAGACAGGGGTGTGCTTTAAACTCTATACTGTTTGATGTTTTTATTGACCACATTATGAATTAGATAAAATGTTTAAAACGTTAGAGAGATATGCCTACCATACGAATTAAAAGTAAACACAGGGAAAACGAAGATCATGGCCTTTAGAAACGGGAGGGTAAATAAAGGCATGGGAAAAGTGTGCATTTAAGGAAGAGATCACTGAAATTATATACAAATTTAAGTATTTGGGTTTCTAGTTTGCAGCAAACAAAATAGCGTGAATAAGTATATAGAAAGGGTGGCAGAAAAACTCAGAAAACAGCTAAATCTACATGGGTAGTAATGAAAAGAGCAAGTTGAGACAGGGAGGAAAAATCGTATGTTTCTAATGAATTCCATTGTCAGAATGGTGGCTTTATATGCATAGAAGTGTGGCGATGTAGCAAATTAGGAAGTTTGAGTAAGGTACGAACAAGATATTGCATTAGGCGTTAGGGGTGGCAAGAAATACTCCAATATATATATTAAGAAATAGACTAAACTTCAAAGTAGAAGGAGGAGACTGTGGTAAATATTAATTAAAAATGAAAAGGAATACTCACCCCTAATTATCACAAAAAACTTTATTTGGGCGGACACGTGTTTCGCCCACTTCATACGTCATACTTCATAGTCTCGCGTTGATAATGCCCACGTATGAAGTGGGCGAAACACGTGTACGCTCAAATAAAGTTTTTTGTGGTAATTAGGGGTGAGTATTCCTTTTAATTTTTAATTAATAATTACCACAGTCTCCTCCTTCTACTTTGAATATGGCTTCCCGGTCATTGGAGTTAAATAGACGTAATGAGCATTGAATATGTAGTGAGAAAGTGAGAGGGTGTTAATACTTCAAGGATGTGTTGGGGATGAAATCTGATAGGTGTCCAAAGGTATGTCTAGTAGTAGAAATTAGAACAATTAACCGTCATAGTGTCAAAGGGGGCAGAATATTTAAGGGGGGGTACCAAAAATAAAAAATATAAGGACATTTGGGCCAAAATAAGGTACAACAATGTAGGAAGGGCTTTTAAAACAGGCTATAGTGAATGAATTTCTAGATTATTTGAAGGACGGAGGAAGATATGAGAGAGTTAATTATTGAAAAAATGTCAGTTGGACCTCATAGTTTTAAGAGAATTTTTGTTAAAAAGTATGCAAGTTAAAATAAACGGAAAAGGGGCACTTTGGAAAAACCCGTAGGGAATAAAATGAAATATAATATTATTTTTATATTACTAAACAAACATCCCGAGTTTCTCTCATATTAATATTATGTAGGTACAATGTCCCGAAATGAGAAACGGAGTATAGAGAACCCTTCGTGAAAAGCCGATGAGCGTTTACAAAGGCAATTAATTTTAACTAGAAAGGCGATGATCTGACGACGTTGACTGACTAGGTACTTAATATTTCGCAAGAATAGTCAACGGAAGTACGCTTTCGTCTTTTATCCAAATACCTAATTAAGAAAACAATGCGAAAGATGTTACTTAAATGCTCATTCATGGAAGTATTCCGATGATAAGAAGTAGTTTTGTATTGCAAGTTTGCTTAAAACTTAAGCTTATATATATATAGGTACACAATAGGTTGAAAACTATTAAATACATGTACAATATTACAAAATTATTGTTAGTAATAATGTTATCAAGGATACTTACAATATCCTTTCCCATCTTTCTGCACATTGTTTGGAGGATTAAAATTAATATTATTGACCGACACGAGAAAACGAACAAAATGGCTTCTACGAAATTCTCACATCATTCCTTAAAAACCATAAACCCCCTTCCTATTTTATATTCTGTGGCGTAAAAAAGTGACAACATTTTGGCCCCAAATGTAAATCACACAGTACGAATTACACTAGGACTTCATTAAATATATGTCCAATTCAAGACATTTACAGTTGTGATTATTTTCCGATGAATGAATTTATTTTTAACTACTTCTTATTTATTAATTTTATTTAATTATTAGTTCAATAAAATTTGAAATAGTGGAAAAACTCACTGTGATTGATTACATCTATGGAAGATAAAAAACTTATGTCAAAATCCATAAATATTATTCTTTATTAAATGTGTGCCCAATTTAAAATATTCACAGTTGTGAATATTTTCCAATGAATTTGTTTTTAATAATTTTTTATTTATTAACTTTATTTAATTCAATAAAATTTAAAATACCGGGAAAGCTTACTACTGTGTTTGATTACATCTATGGATATCTATTATCTATGATAAAAAACGTAAATCGTTATCCATAAATATTATTTTTTCCAATGTAGTATTTACGTTAAAAAATATTTCAAAGAAGTTTAATAAAAAGTTTTTCTTTTACTTCCTATAAACGCATTTGAATTTCGAAAATTTACTTTATAATTTTTGCTTGTTATTTTGCTATTATATTCAAAAGTCCATAAAAACCATTTAGCCAACGACTACATACAACGATTTAAAAATAAACTTAAATATACAGAGATTATAGGAATTAATTTACTTGTAATTAATTTATTATGGCACAATTTGTAACTGAGACTAATTATTAATTCTGTTTTTATAAAAAATCATCTACAGAAGCCATAAAAATGCAACATGATCATGGCGACACCACAATTATATTCTGATATGTACAGATGACATGCGCGCATGATTGTCAAAAATATTAGCACTGAATTGTCATTGTAAAATAGGGCAGAATCCTTGTTTTATTGAAATTAAAGCCATTTAGGCTCAAATTAGAATAAACAATGTCTAAACAAGAACAAGTACTTCAGATTGAACCACAAAATGAACTTAGATTTAGAGGTAAGCTAACGTTTTTTGATTGGAATAGTCACCTACCTTACACATACGCCGTTTGTCATTATAATTTATAAAACTCATCATTTTTGATTGATAATTATATCACCAAGCTATTTATTAATTCATAATGACTACAAATATTTCTGCTGAAGAATAATTACTATTAAGAATATCACTTAAAATTTTAACAAATCTGATTAAATAATCATTTCTTACAGGGCCCTTTAATGTTCCTGTTACATCTTACATGAAACTGACTAATCCTTCAGACAAGAAAGTTCTGTTCAAAATTAAAACTACAGCTCCAAAAAAATACTGTGTTCGACCGAATTCTGGTATTTTAGATGCACACAGTAATACGGAAATTGCCAGTAAGTACCTTTCTTATACTTATAAATTTATGCATTCACAGTCATAGTTGTAGCTTTTAAATAAGAAGTACTACTTTCCAATACTCCATATTTTTGAAAATCTTTGTAGTGTATTATTTTTTCTTGGAACATTATTTGTTATTGATTGATAAAGATATATTGATTATTTACATCTTTGTAATGTAGCTCATTTATAAAAGAAATAAGTTTGTTTTTTTTGCAGTTGTATTTCCAATTGTGCATAATTTGCATAATTGGAATCAAAATAATTTTACCTTTGTTTCCTAATTATTTATGTCCTTGAATAAAAACAAAAACAGCTTATATATTACGTTTAAAGCCTCTTTTAATCAATGACTTATCGATCTTTTTATTTCCTTTTATTATATGTATGTGAAATAAAAATGAATGGTAGCTTTGTTAGGTAGCACATTAAATAAGTTACTTATCTGCAAGGTTGCATTTTAATTGCTATTCTGTATCATCAGTTTACTGCTAACTACATATTTATGGTTCTGCTTACCTACTTGTTGAAATACAAATTTTTTTCAGTCTGTCTCCAACCTTTTGTTTTTGACCCAAATGAAAAGAACAAACATAAGTTCATGGTTCAGACTGTTTTTGCTCCTGATGAGGAGTTCAATTTAGAACAGTTATGGAGAGAGATCAGTCCAGAACAGTTGATGGACTCGAAACTCAAATGTGTGTTTGAACTACCAGTTGATCAGAATGAGTCACAGGCTTCGGTACAGGAGGAAGTTGCCAAATTAAGCCCCAAAGTAACTTCACCGACCTCCACAACAGCATCTTCTAATCTTGAAGCTGAACTTGAAAAGGCAGCTGCTGAGGTACATATTTCATTTTATTCAACTATACTAGCGCGCGCCTATTTTGCATTATATTGTCAAATAGGCAATGCATATTATATAAATTAAAATTGTAACTTCATAAACTTTAATATAATCGTTTTTGACCCTCCTTTTATAAACATACAAAGAATCTGTTAAGTATAGAATATCTGTAATAAGGTCGGTACTTAAGTTACGATATTTCTTGAATTTCTTAAATAGCGAAGTGTATACATAGATCGTTACATTCATAAATAACATGATAGTTTTTGCCGTATATGAAATCATTTAGAAATATCAAAATAAGCTGTTAACGATTTTTCAAAATGCTATTTTATTTAGGTAAGAGTACTTAGAGAAGAAGAAAGTATACTTCGACAAGATAATCTGATGTTGAAAGAGGAAATATTGCGATTGAAGCATTTACTAGGAGACAGTGTGGAAACGAGTCTTCCGAGGAAGTACAATCCCAGCGTCCAAACTCAGAATATACCAGTGGCATACATAGCTATCGGCGTGATAATAGCCGTTTTCGGTATGATCTTGGGAAAGTTTATACTTTAAATGAAAAGACTTTACGATGTGGCTTTTAACTTCTCCCCAGTTTTTACATTATACTTTTTTCCGTTTATATTTTGCCGTAATGAGAAATAAAAATTTATGTGACAGGACATTGTGCTTCTGTAAAGATATAATTTTTGCTTAAATATTGCGGTCCGTCGTTATTTTATTATTATTTTTTTGTTTTAAGCATTCAAAAAGCATAACAGGCTAATAATATTTCTCGAAGGACGCATTAGTATTAGTTTCCCTACCGTCAGTCCCAGCTTATCGTTTTTACTGTTAGTTCTTTGCTGTTTTTGTTACCCAACTAATTATTTATTATTTAAATGTTTTAATTATATACGTGGGAAACGAGTAGCATAAAATGTATCATAAATAGTGAGTTGTTTTGTTGGAGTGCAAATTACACAAAAGAAAAATTCGTTTCCGATAATTATTTATGTGCATTCGTTTAAAACAATCGAANAAACTGCATTTACTAAACAGTTTATGACCCATGAATACCAGCTAAAATTTAAATTTTTAGAACCCATATTAAAAACATTTCGTTTAATAATTATTTTGTTACCCAACTAATTATTTATTATTTAAATGTTTTAATTATATACGTGGGAAACGAGTAGCATAAAATGTATCATAAATAGTGAGTTGTTTTGTTGGAGTGCAAATTACACAAAAGAAAAATTCGTTTCCGATAATTATTTATGTGCATTCGTTTAAAACAATCGAATAATAGATGTGGGTAGGTCACCATAAATGAAAAAAAAAAATGAATTCGTTTGTTGTGCAACAGAATATTGTCTTGTTTGTAACAAAAAACCCATTGCATTTATAATCTCCGAAATTGAAAATTCCATTCCAAAAATCTTATTGTAAATATTTTTTTTTATAAACTGCATTCCTTTAACAAGACCAACTTAAATTGGCCTAAAGGATCAATTCTTTTTACAAGAGGAGAATTTGAAAGTGGGCCCTATAAACAATGAATTTTGATAAGTTTTCTGAAAAAAAAATCTTATCAATATTTTTATTGTTCCTTATACTTGTTCTAATTGTTGTACTTATTAACGTTTAGAATCGCTCCTGTGGTTAAATATATTTATTTTGGTAGTCAAACTGGCATTTTTTTTGCACTTTTCCTTTGTTATCGTTATATTTCATATTGAACGAAATGAGGTACTAATATTTTCTCTCAGATTATACATTTTTGTACATCTAAAAAAAATGTAATGTAACATATAACTAGAACATGAGGGAGAAAAATGGTCAAGTTTGATCACCCAATTAATTACATTTACTTATTAGAGTGACGTTATGAAATAGAATGTACATAAGGAGCAATAAAAGTTTATTTAGAAAAATCGTTTAGAAAATTTATCAAAGTTTTGAAATTCGAAGTTTTACAACAACCTTTGCACTTCGTACTTCTGAATGTATTTTATTTTGAGCACTTTAAAAATAATTACAATAGTTTTCATAAATAAGAAAATGCTTTTTTTTATTAACTGTGCACAACAAAGGACAACCGAGCAGATATTTTTAAAGATATTTCGAAAAAATGATAACACTACAAAACTGTAAATAACATCGATGTTTTTCATTCTGTACCCAGACAGCTTGAAATTTATTTTACATTTGGCTTAAAAAAAAATAGTGGAAGCACGCGAACTGTAACATTAATCATTTTTTCTGTGATCTATCTACCGACATAATTTTAACAATTTGAAATTACTAGCACTTGTAAATTTGAAAATAAACAAAAACTAAAAAGGCGGAAAATTTGTACGCGTTTTTTTTTATATACAAATATTTGACAAAAGTGCTAGGCTTGAATTTCAAATCAATCTCAAATGGAGAAAATTATTTCGTGTAGCGGTTTTGCTGTATTGTACTTTTATTTATTATTTTATTAATTCTCCACGAACTCGTTAGATGAAAATAAATAAAAAATTTTGATAAAATAAATGTACGTGTGTGTTCCTTTTCACCAACTCCTCACCAAGCCATTGTAAAATAATACATGAAACATTGTTTCAGTTTACTTTAATGCCTACACATTATTTTCTACCCTTTTTAAACGGCAACGGTTACCACCTCTCGTTTCATATTTGCAATATTATTGTACCTACTTACCACTAAAATTAAAGAAACATACTAGTTGTATAGTTACTATATCATTAAATCACTGATTGCTGGCTTTTTAATGAGGAAAATGTACATTTTAACTGAGAGAGTATGCTCGAGCAGTTGAAATAATAAAAAATAATTGTAAATTATTACTATCAAATGTTGGTTCTGATTGTAACTGTTTGTTTCTACAGCTCTAGAGAAATACTGTTATTATAATTATTATAAGTGTATATTGACGAAAGAAAGCGTGTGCGGGCTTGTTGCCTCCATTTCAAACGTATAATTTAAACTAATAACTTGTAACTGGTGTATTTGTTATACTGTTAGCCTGCAAAATTGTAATTTCATTGAAGAAACTATTAAAAAATAAATAAAAACAATCTTNGCGGCTTCGTCCCCACAATCAATCGTCATTACCTTTTGTTTCCCCCATAAGCTGTTGCGAATTGAGTTTATTAAAGAATTAATATAAAGAATAAGTATTTCGATCACTAACTAAATGTTATCTTTATTGTTTTTATCTTCTTTTGTAACTGGTATTTTCACATACAATGTTCTCATATTTGGAGCATCTATCGCAAAATATTCTTGATCGTGAACAGTAACTTCTATTAAAACCATGTGGGGAAACGTTTTCGAAGTGCAATATGATTTATCTGAATCGCGATAAACAACCAAAAATCTGAAATTTGCTTCTGTAATTAGATTCAGGTAATCTACAACTTTCATCATAAAAAATCGATTATTCAATTGTTACACAAAAATATATCAAGTAATGAAAAAATCAAGTTTAAAATAGATCTTATTTATATCTGCTGTATCTGCATATGCATAATTTATTTAAATGAAGATATATACCTATCCAACATCTGAAATGCCCGTTCATCTTCTTCAAATTGTATTTTCGTTTTCCTAATTATCACACAAGGTTAATCAAGTTTTTTCTGAGTTTCTGTGGGAAGGTCTTCGGAAGTAATGTCATCTGTTCTAGTTTTATCAATTGGGTACAACCTAAAACAAAGCAATTAGATAATAATTTCTCTCACATTTCTCTTATTACTCTTACCATCTTTGATATAAATAAATAATAAAAACTATATCATCCCTAAAACATGCTATTCTATGAGCTGTTGGCATAGTTATTATAAAAGCAAAAATGTCATCTATAAACGTATTGAAAGCCCTGTACATAAAGGCTCTCCAGGGCAATGCAGCCACAGACTTTAACCGATAATTAATAAATAACTGGGGTAACATGAATAAAAATCCAAAAGCATAAACTGCATTTACTAAACAGTTTATGACCCATGAATACCAGCTAAAATTTAAATTTTTAGAACCCATATTAAAAACATTTCGTTTAATAATTATTGTTTCTATACCTCTTATGTGCTTGATAAATTAACGAATAAATTGCTGCTCCCAAACACAAAGGATAGAGCACATAACTCAACATGCTCATACACTGATCATCATATTCTCTAGTCTTTGCTTCAGCTGCAGTTTCCAGTTTCATTCGATTCGTATGTACCTTAGGAAGACCATTTTCCCAAATGACTGTAGCTTTGAAAACTTTTTTCAATTTCCAAAACTACAAATCCTCTCCTTAAAAATTAAATAAAACTGAAAACATTAACACCTTGCCAACCTCTATCACTGTAGCTATTCCAGAAGGTATAAGGACCAGCAATGAAGTTCCCTGATCTAACAGAAACAAAAATATGATTGTCTGAGAAAAAGCTCTCCATAAGACAGCTTTGGTGGACAGTCCAGCCATTGAAGTTTTTGATTTCCAAAAACGTACGTCGTTTTTAAAAGATAAAAAGTCAAAAAGTAACTAAAAAGAAAGACTGTACACTTTAAATAAGGTTTAAATAGTTTTAACTAACATGAATACTTCCAACAAACATTGTAGCACAAAGCAAATACAAATTAGTATCTGCAAAGACACCTTTCACTTCATCCAAATCCTTTTGAGTAAAGCCAAGTTTCAAAAACTGATGTAAAGTTGCTTCAATTTGTAAAAGAAACCTCAACTTTCCAAAGGATGATGGACTATAGGCAAAGGTCATTTTAAAAGATTCGGTGTCAGGCTTCACCTCCACTAAATCTGTTCTTTTTGTTTGCAGAAAATCCTCTACTAAAATAGGGAGCAGCTGGGATCTATGATTCACATTAACGTGTTTTGCAATTTCAAATGGAACATGGTTATTGGGAACAGAAAAGTTGTCAGTACAGATGGTGATTGCAAACTTGTTTTGAATATGTGTAACTGGTTTATAGGACTTTTTTCCTCCTTCATCTTTTAACAAATTAAAGGCATTATCTTTAGGAACAACATGTTCACTTACTTTCTTTCTATAATAAACAGCATCTGGAAACCGAGTTACTTCACTCAAACTCAAACCTTTTTTTGTTATTCTAGCAGGAAATAAAACTACATGCATGAAAAGACTCCCATTTTGTCGAGTTGAAGTAGGTAGAGCCAACTGCAACTCCCTAAACAACAAATTTCTTAAGCATCAAATTATAGCTAAGTTTTCAAGCTTACCTTTCAAATGGAGTATCATAGTCAAAATTGGTAATGTTATCAACTAATGTTAATGAGCTTATTGTATTGTCGGAGGCAAACAGTAACAAATTTAAAGAAGGTTTACTATTTAAATATGAGCTGTAACAAAGTTCACCTATCTTACATTCTGGAGGACGAAATAATGTAACTAAATTCCAGATAGAATGGCAAATAAACAACAAAAACAACCCGGAAAGTAAATTAGTAAGAGAAAACATCGTTTTTATGTTATATTTTAATGTTTAATGATGTTTTATTATTCACGTTGATTACACGTCAACTTTGAGCGCCATTTTTAAATATCATGGACGATCATATGGACCATAGATAATAAGTATGAACTATCATAGATGTTAAATATATAATCCAAAGATGAGATATAATCCGTAGAATATTACATATAAAAAAAATATGAGAGCTGTCAACACAGGGCAAAGTATTACTTATTACGTAAATGAAAGTTAGTATCAGCACTGATTACTATATATCTATTAAAAAAATATAATGGCCGACATCAGTAACAATGCGACAACAATTGAAAAAGAATGATGGCCGACAACTGCAACAATTAGAAAAGAATGATGGCCGACACTACGTCATAGTGGAGCAATAAAAATGGCCGGGGGCAGGCGGAAGAACTAGTATAAATAAAAGATCTTACATATTTGTGAAAAATCATGCTATACCGCTGATGTTTATTTATAATTAGTTTATTAGTTAAATGTGACAGCAGACTTCAATCTAATCAANGTCCATGTCCTGAATCCATAGTATCAAAAAATACTGCAACAATAAAAAGCAACAGATTACAAAAAACATCCGGCGCATCAGCAGTTACGACTTTGAATTAAAATTATATATCTAAAAATTATGCGACTCCTTAAGTTTCAATAAAAAAACGTTTCGCAATTAACAATTTCTATTATTAGCAAAACAATACACTTATCGCTTCTTTACAAATACAGCAGCACCTACTTCGATCAGTTCGTTTTCTCCTTCTATAATATCAAAGTAACTTCCGAAAAGAGGATGTTCACCTTCCAATTTAATATTTTTAACGTCCTTTAACTTCCTATAACTAAACGTAAAAAAAAAAACATTATGAAATGTATTTATCATAAAAGTGTACATTACACTAGTACCTTCCCATTACGTTTAATGGTTCGCGACCTGGAATTCTAGAACCTGTGTCAACATCAATATTAACAACAAGACACCTCGGACAATACTTTACAAACTTAAATATGAGATTGTTAATTTTAATATATTCCCAGTCATCTTCGTCAAATGGAGGTAATTTGTTATCACTAATTACTATATTTGGTCGGAAGTTTCTGTGCGAAATTTGAATATCAGTTAACCTGGAGTTAACTTCATTTACTGAACTTTCATTAACAAATAAATAATTAGCAAGATCGGCATACAAGCCCTACAAAAATATTAATTATCAATACTTTAAAAAACAGTTTTTTATTTGTACTAACGGTGGATTCGTTCTTTAAATTTTTGTAGACTTCTACGTATTCAGGCAAATCCTGTTCAAAGCTTCTTCTTTCACTACCGTCATGAAATCCTAAACGAAGTCCTGTTTCTGTATCTAAAATATACCTCGAAACCCATGTCGCGGCTTCGTCCCCACAATCAATCGTCATTACCTTTTGTTTCCCCCATAAGCTGTTGCGAATTGAGTTTATTAAAGAATTAATATAAAGAATAAGTATTTCGATCACTAACTAAATGTTATCTTTATTGTTTTTATCTTCTTTTGTAACTGGTATTTTCACATACAATGTTCTCATATTTGGAGCATCTATCGCAAAATATTCTTGATCGTGAACAGTAACTTCTATTAAAACCATGTGGGGAAACGTTTTCGAAGTGCAATATGATTTATCTGAATCGCGATAAACAACCAAAAATCTGAAATTTGCTTCTGTAATTAGATTCAGGTAATCTACAACTTTCATCATAAAAAATCGATTATTCAATTGTTACACAAAAATATATCAAGTAATGAAAAAATCAAGTTTAAAATAGATCTTATTTATATCTGCTGTATCTGCATATGCATAATTTATTTAAATGAAGATATATACCTATCCAACATCTGAAATGCCCGTTCATCTTCTTCAAATTGTTTTAATCCAAAAGTGGTACATCGGGCACGTTTCAATTTTAAGAAACGACCACTTTTTAAAGGATACATATACAAATCGCTCACTTTACCCACATATTTCCATTCCTTATACCAAGGGATATTTAAAACTCGCGATTTGAAAATGTAAAAGGCGAGCAATATCGCTCCCGTAAAAGCACTCGATAATGCTAACGAATAATTTTGCGAAAAGCTATTCAAATAATTCAACATTTTACGATTAGCTTGGCGCACACACAAACTATAATCACTAAAATAATTAATGCAGTTAATAGAATTTCATTTTAAATTGTTTTGTCGCTGACGCAACACCACATTAACACAAATTTTTATTGTTGCAGATAAATTTCTTTTGTGTCAAATACAAACTTCTAAGGGTTATCTTTCTATGATTATGCAGCAACATTATCATCACATAAATAAACATGCATAGAACAATTAAATTTATGTTTATTTACCTAATTAAATTTAACACTTAAAGTGTAAATTAAAAACAAAAAAAATAAATTAAAGTTAATGAAAATACCTTATTGACTAAAGTAATCTTCTTCAAATTGTATTTTCGTTTTCCTAATTATCACACAAGGTTAATCAAGTTTTTTCTGAGTTTCTGTGGGAAGGTCTTCGGAAGTAATGTCATCTGTTCTAGTTTTATCAATTGGGTACAACCTAAAACAAAGCAATTAGATAATAATTTCTCTCACATTTCTCTTATTACTCTTACCATCTTTGATATAAATAAATAATAAAAACTATATCATCCCTAAAACATGCTATTCTATGAGCTGTTGGCATAGTTATTATAAAAGCAAAAATGTCATCTATAAACGTATTGAAAGCCCTGTACATAAAGGCTCTCCAGGGCAATGCAGCCACAGACTTTAACCGATAATTAATAAATAACTGGGGTAACATGAATAAAAATCCAAAAGCATAAACTGCATTTACTAAACAGTTTATGACCCATGAATACCAGCTAAAATTTAAATTTTTAGAACCCATATTAAAAACATTTCGTTTAATAATTATTGTTTCTATACCTCTTATGTGCTTGATAAATTAACGAATAAATTGCTGCTCCCAAACACAAAGGATAGAGCACATAACTCAACATGCTCATACACTGATCATCATATTCTCTAGTCTTTGCTTCAGCTGCAGTTTCCAGTTTCATTCGATTCGTATGTACCTTAGGAAGACCATTTTCCCAAATGACTGTAGCTTTGAAAACTTTTTTCAATTTCCAAAACTACAAATCCTCTCCTTAAAAATTAAATAAAACTGAAAACATTAACACCTTGCCAACCTCTATCACTGTAGCTATTCCAGAAGGTATAAGGACCAGCAATGAAGTTCCCTGATCTAACAGAAACAAAAATATGATTGTCTGAGAAAAAGCTCTCCATAAGACAGCTTTGGTGGACAGTCCAGCCATTGAAGTTTTTGATTTCCAAAAACGTACGTCGTTTTTAAAAGATAAAAAGTCAAAAAGTAACTAAAAAGAAAGACTGTACACTTTAAATAAGGTTTAAATAGTTTTAACTAACATGAATACTTCCAACAAACATTGTAGCACAAAGCAAATACAAATTAGTATCTGCAAAGACACCTTTCACTTCATCCAAATCCTTTTGAGTAAAGCCAAGTTTCAAAAACTGATGTAAAGTTGCTTCAATTTGTAAAAGAAACCTCAACTTTCCAAAGGATGATGGACTATAGGCAAAGGTCATTTTAAAAGATTCGGTGTCAGGCTTCACCTCCACTAAATCTGTTCTTTTTGTTTGCAGAAAATCCTCTACTAAAATAGGGAGCAGCTGGGATCTATGATTCACATTAACGTGTTTTGCAATTTCAAATGGAACATGGTTATTGGGAACAGAAAAGTTGTCAGTACAGATGGTGATTGCAAACTTGTTTTGAATATGTGTAACTGGTTTATAGGACTTTTTTCCTCCTTCATCTTTTAACAAATTAAAGGCATTATCTTTAGGAACAACATGTTCACTTACTTTCTTTCTATAATAAACAGCATCTGGAAACCGAGTTACTTCACTCAAACTCAAACCTTTTTTTGTTATTCTAGCAGGAAATAAAACTACATGCATGAAAAGACTCCCATTTTGTCGAGTTGAAGTAGGTAGAGCCAACTGCAACTCCCTAAACAACAAATTTCTTAAGCATCAAATTATAGCTAAGTTTTCAAGCTTACCTTTCAAATGGAGTATCATAGTCAAAATTGGTAATGTTATCAACTAATGTTAATGAGCTTATTGTATTGTCGGAGGCAAACAGTAACAAATTTAAAGAAGGTTTACTATTTAAATATGAGCTGTAACAAAGTTCACCTATCTTACATTCTGGAGGACGAAATAATGTAACTAAATTCCAGATAGAATGGCAAATAAACAACAAAAACAACCCGGAAAGTAAATTAGTAAGAGAAAACATCGTTTTTATGTTATATTTTAATGTTTAATGATGTTTTATTATTCACGTTGATTACACGTCAACTTTGAGCGCCATTTTTAAATATCATGGACGATCATATGGACCATAGATAATAAGTATGAACTATCATAGATGTTAAATATATAATCCANAAAAAAAAAAACATTATGAAATGTATTTATCATAAAAGTGTACATTACACTAGTACCTTCCCATTACGTTTAATGGTTCGCGACCTGGAATTCTAGAACCTGTGTCAACATCAATATTAACAACAAGACACCTCGGACAATACTTTACAAACTTAAATATGAGATTGTTAATTTTAATATATTCCCAGTCATCTTCGTCAAATGGAGGTAATTTGTTATCACTAATTACTATATTTGGTCGGAAGTTTCTGTGCGAAATTTGAATATCAGTTAACCTGGAGTTAACTTCATTTACTGAACTTTCATTAACAAATAAATAATTAGCAAGATCGGCATACAAGCCCTACAAAAATATTAATTATCAATACTTTAAAAAACAGTTTTTTATTTGTACTAACGGTGGATTCGTTCTTTAAATTTTTGTAGACTTCTACGTATTCAGGCAAATCCTGTTCAAAGCTTCTTCTTTCACTACCGTCATGAAATCCTAAACGAAGTCCTGTTTCTGTATCTAAAATATACCTCGAAACCCATGTCGCGGCTTCGTCCCCACAATCAATCGTCATTACCTTTTGTTTCCCCCATAAGCTGTTGCGAATTGAGTTTATTAAAGAATTAATATAAAGAATAAGTATTTCGATCACTAACTAAATGTTATCTTTATTGTTTTTATCTTCTTTTGTAACTGGTATTTTCACATACAATGTTCTCATATTTGGAGCATCTATCGCAAAATATTCTTGATCGTGAACAGTAACTTCTATTAAAACCATGTGGGGAAACGTTTTCGAAGTGCAATATGATTTATCTGAATCGCGATAAACAACCAAAAATCTGAAATTTGCTTCTGTAATTAGATTCAGGTAATCTACAACTTTCATCATAAAAAATCGATTATTCAATTGTTACACAAAAATATATCAAGTAATGAAAAAATCAAGTTTAAAATAGATCTTATTTATATCTGCTGTATCTGCATATGCATAATTTATTTAAATGAAGATATATACCTATCCAACATCTGAAATGCCCGTTCATCTTCTTCAAATTGTTTTAATCCAAAAGTGGTACATCGGGCACGTTTCAATTTTAAGAAACGACCACTTTTTAAAGGATACATATACAAATCGCTCACTTTACCCACATATTTCCATTCCTTATACCAAGGGATATTTAAAACTCGCGATTTGAAAATGTAAAAGGCGAGCAATATCGCTCCCGTAAAAGCACTCGATAATGCTAACGAATAATTTTGCGAAAAGCTATTCAAATAATTCAACATTTTACGATTAGCTTGGCGCACACACAAACTATAATCACTAAAATAATTAATGCAGTTAATAGAATTTCATTTTAAATTGTTTTGTCGCTGACGCAACACCACATTAACACAAATTTTTATTGTTGCAGATAAATTTCTTTTGTGTCAAATACAAACTTCTAAGGGTTATCTTTCTATGATTATGCAGCAACATTATCATCACATAAATAAACATGCATAGAACAATTAAATTTATGTTTATTTACCTAATTAAATTTAACTGTTTGGAGAGATCCTAAAAGGTTTACACTAAAGGAACAATAAAAAAATCCGGGGGTCAAGGGGAAGAACTACTGTAATTTATAGAATTTTATAGACAATCAAAATAAAACGTCTGTGTCTAAATATAATCACTTGTTCAATAGTGTCACAGAACAGCTCACACACTCATATGAAATTTAATCGTAAAGCTGGAATTATTTAAAATATCATTTTCTTTTTTATTAATAAAACTATAATCCATAAACATACACAAATGAGTATGTATTCATTATAATAGTATCAAAAAATACTGCAACAATAAAAAGCAACAGATTACAAAAAACATCCGGCGCATCAGCAGTTACGACTTTGAATTAAAATTATATATCTAAAAATTATGCGACTCCTTAAGTTTCAATAAAAAAACGTTTCGCAATTAACAATTTCTATTATTAGCAAAACAATACACTTATCGCTTCTTTACAAATACAGCAGCACCTACTTCGATCAGTTCGTTTTCTCCTTCTATAATATCAAAGTAACTTCCGAAAAGAGGATGTTCACCTTCCAATTTAATATTTTTAACGTCCTTTAACTTCCTATAACTAAACGTAAAAAAAAAAAACATTATGAAATGTATTTATCATAAAAGTGTACATTACACTAGTACCTTCCCATTACGTTTAATGGTTCGCGACCTGGAATTCTAGAACCTGTGTCAACATCAATATTAACAACAAGACACCTCGGACAATACTTTACAAACTTAAATATGAGATTGTTAATTTTAATATATTCCCAGTTATCTTCGTCAAATGGAGGTAATTTGTTATCACTAATTACTATATTTGGTCGGAAGTTTCTGTGCGAAATTTGAATATCAGTTAACCTGGAGTTAACTTCATTTACTGAACTTTCATTAACAAATAAATAATTAGCAAGATCGGCATACAAGCCCTACAAAAATATTAATTATCAATACTTTAAAAAACAGTTTTTTATTTGTACTAACGGTGGATTCGTTCTTTAAATTTTTGTAGACTTCTACGTATTCAGGCAAATCCTGTTCAAAGCTTCTTCTTTCACTACCGTCATGAAATCCTAAACGAAGTCCTGTTTCTGTATCTAAAATATACCTCGAAACCCATGTCGCGGCTTCGTCCCCACAATCAATCGTCATTACCTTTTGTTTCCCCCATAAGCTGTTGCGAATTGAGTTTATTAAAGAATTAATATAAAGAATAAGTATTTCGATCACTAACTAAATGTTATCTTTATTGTTTTTATCTTCTTTTGTAACTGGTATTTTCACATACAATGTTCTCATATTTGGAGCATCTATCGCAAAATATTCTTGATCGTGAACAGTAACTTCTATTAAAACCATGTGGGGAAACGTTTTCGAAGTGCAATATGATTTATCTGAATCGCGATAAACAACCAAAAATCTGAAATTTGCTTCTGTAATTAGATTCAGGTAATCTACAACTTTCATCATAAAAAATCGATTATTCAATTGTTACACAAAAATATATCAAGTAATGAAAAAATCAAGTTTAAAATAGATCTTATTTATATCTGCTGTATCTGCATATGCATAATTTATTTAAATGAAGATATATACCTATCCAACATCTGAAATGCCCGTTCATCTTCTTCAAATTGTTTTAATCCAAAAGTGGTACATCGGGCACGTTTCAATTTTAAGAAACGACCACTTTTTAAAGGATACATATACAAATCGCTCACTTTACCCACATATTTCCATTCCTTATACCAAGGGATATTTAAAACTCGCGATTTGAAAATGTAAAAGGCGAGCAATATCGCTCCCGTAAAAGCACTCGATAATGCTAACGAATAATTTTGCGAAAAGCTATTCAAATAATTCAACATTTTACGATTAGCTTGGCGCACACACAAACTATAATCACTAAAATAATTAATGCAGTTAATAGAATTTCATTTTAAATTGTTTTGTCGCTGACGCAACACCACATTAACACAAATTTTTATTGTTGCAGATAAATTTCTTTTGTGTCAAATACAAACTTCTAAGGGTTATCTTTCTATGATTATGCAGCAACATTATCATCACATAAATAAACATGCATAGAACAATTAAATTTATGTTTATTTACCTAATTAAATTTAACTGTTTGGAGAGATCCTAAAAGGTTTACACTAAAGGAACAATAAAAAAATTTATAGGGGCCGTTTTCATACTCTTATTAACTTTAGTTCTTTATAGAATTTAAAAAAAAAAAGGTTTTCTATTAAATAACGAAAGAGAGAATTTACATTCTCATCAAATACACAAAAGGGTCGAATAAAATTTTTATTCCTTTTATAACTTTTAAACACCGCTTATAAAAATACTGTCTACAAAATAGAATTTATTTGATTACGTAAGTATTACGCTATTATTTATCATGCATATTAGTTTTCGCCTACATTTATTCCATATGCGGAGATGAAGAAAAATAAAAAGCAAATGTTACAAGTTAATATGAAAGTAAAAACCAATTCCTAATAATTATATAGTGATTTAAACACTAAGGCAAGAACTACATATTATTATTTAAAATATACATATAAACTTTAGGTGATAATTACTTTGGTAAATGCAATTAACAAATAATAACGTAATCCACTGACATTTTAAAAATTCAACTAATGAAAGTCATAACATTAACATTATTCGTAATAAAAAAAAAAAACAATAACTTCATGTACAATGTACCTGCGTCAAATTTTAAGATACAAAGGTAAAATCACTTATCCTTAGCAATTGATCTCCCTCTTCCGACAGAACGCGGTTTAACAGCCTTTTTAGCTATATCTGCAGCTGTCCAAGGTCCATGTCCTGAATCCGTGAAACTGAAAAGTTAAAAAGTATGTCAGATACACATATTTATTTAATTAATATTTAACTTTACATTTTACTATCTTATCATTGTTAGTGTTATAATTAATTTTTAAGTAAGTAGTACTAAAGTATTAAATATTTGAAATTGAAAAGCAACTAAAGTATGTCATGAGAGTGTTTGATAGTGGTTAAACTTAATTCTTAAGAAATACCTACAATTAAGAATTAACATTCACATATCATTTTCCAATTTTGACCTAATTAAATGTATTCATCAAAAACAGAAACCGCCCCCAAGAACTGCTCCAAATTTTTTAATCTTAGCAGGGAGAAAATAAAAAGTTGCATGTCTAAATTTTTCATAAATTATTTTTGCAACAGTGTTTATTATAATTTTAATTAAAAAATACAATTTTAGAAAGTTGTAGTTAATATTTCAAAAAGAAATAATATTAATAGTACTGTAACAATGTAAATTAGTAGTTTTTAATTGCGATTTTTTACGTTATTATAAACAAAAAAATCAACAGAACAACAACTAAATTTGAGATTATTAGAGTATTACTATCATTTTTTATCTAGTTCTTCAAATCGAAAATAAATATTTACCTTGAGCTCACGTCAGTTTTAACACAGAAATCACCATTACGTGCCTGTGAACTGTTGCCTGCCACTGCATTTAAATTTTCAGTGGTTAATTTTGATTTCTGATTCAAAGAATAATTAGGAAGTCTTGGTCCAGATTCTGCACCAAGTTTTACTTTCTCCATCAGACTTGCTACAATTACAGGATCATCTTCACTTACATCTTTTGCAGCTTTTCTAGCTGCAACTGGTAAAGCTGCTGGTCTGCGAGCTCGTCCTGTATCAAACTGCAGAAAAATAAAAAAAAAATGATAACAGAGTGATAATAATTATAATGTATAAAAATTTTAAATTATCTATACAATTTCCTACAAAGTTTAACCCAATTTAATAGCATATTCTATAGTTATTTTAGAAAATATTGTTTACATTTTCGGCTGACTTTTCTTCACTACACTTGTTCATATTACTGAGTTTCTGATGCCTTTGCCTTTCATTATTTCGAAAATCTCTTTTAACTGCAGCTGACTGGACCATAATGTTTCTTAAAATTGGTTTGTCTTTTATATGTTCTTCAGGATTGTACGTAGGAACGTTTACCTAAAGTACCATAACAATTACATTTGAATTAATGCTAAACAAACCCTAAGTAACTGTTACTTACATCATCCCAACATTCCCCATCAGTAGAAAGATCATATTTAGGAACAGGATACTTATCTTGATTATTGGTTTCTGGGACATACATATACTTATCTAACGTAACTCTATCTTTACAATGATCATGATGATACTGTAAATAAAATTCATTAAATAATACTTTATAAATATAATACTGTATACCTTAAGTTCCGGCTCTGGTATCCTATGGGTGTTGTTATATTTACATTCTACGATCTTAGCATCTGGGTAGTTCCTCTTACATTTCACTAAATGAGTTGCCATTCGCCCCGATAAAATTTGATGACAAGGATTATAAGGGCACGTTAAATGACGTTCAGATTCTCTAAAATATGAAGACAAATGAAACGAAAAATTTATTTAGTTCAACTAAAAACTTACCGTGCGTTCATTGGGGTTGCCATTTTCTTAACTAGATAATCTTAATGTATGTAATATATTAAATTATATTATAATTTTATGAAAATATGTGTACTCTATTTTTAAATGGATCAGTTCTTTATTCTTAACTTTATTTCTGTTTTAACATTTTAAAACCACTCACAAACATATATCACAAACAAAGATAAGTGATAAGCAATAATCCATAGATAATAGCAGTAATCAAACAATCACAAAAAACGCAGTGGCGGTATTATAACCATATCTATGAACCATATTATAATCATTGATAACAATAATGTATTCATATTTAACAGCGTTGCCGATTATCAAAATTTCTGTATCCTAAATTAAAAAGTTTAGAGAACTATAAATTTTGTATTTTGAAAAATAATCGGTATAAGTTTATAGAATCATTATTTTTTATAGGAAGATTTTATTATTGCGCTGTTACTAATTATTTTTATTTTATTCTATAACCATCGTTATTTTGATCTGTCATCGGCAATACATGGGCAAGACTAAGCTGCGAAGTAAATTACGGGAAAACCCCAAGAAGTGCCAAGAAATTCAGTCCATAGATGAAGTTATAATAATGTAATTAGTTTACAAAAATCATACAGTTAAAGTGAAATTTAAAATTGTGAATTGCTGTAATATTTTCAAACTAGTAACTGTATAGGCATATAAAAAAAATTAATCAATCGGGAAAATATGGTAAAGTAATTTTTCCTCGTCGTTCATTCACAACTTGCCAGCAGCTGCATGTAAGCGATTTTCTATCCATAATATCAGTATATAATTTTCCATTTAAATGATCTACTTCATGCTGTATAATTCTTGCATTCCAACCATTTACTTTGAAATTTATTTGTTCACCATTTTCATCAAAAGCTAGAATAACAAATAGCTTAATATAAAAATTTATAATTAGCTATTTTATCTACCTTTTACTTCAACCGCTCTAAACCTTGGAACATTAGACCAGAAACCCTTTATACTTTCACATGCCTCAGGAAAAGTTACTGTATTAAAATTGGTAATTTTTAATTCAGGGTTTACAAGAACCTAAAAGAAATATAGAGGGTTAATTGTTTTTCAAAAATTTTACTTTTCTAACCATTAGAGGGAGTTCATACATTTCCTTTTGTTTTTGTTCTTGTTGAGTATATGCATTTAGATGTTCTTTGGAAAACTGTACAACACAAATTCTATAAGCACTTCCAATTTGGGGAGCAGATAAACCAACAGACTTATACTTTTTCAAAGTATATTTCAGGCATGCTATTATATTCTGAATTTCTGGAGTTTTCAAAATTTCTGTAGCAACTGGCTCAGCTACATGTCTCAATATAGGATCACCAATTTGGGTAACGTGAATATAAGGAGGAGCCGGTGAATTTTTCTTTATTAATCCAGAATACCAGCTTACCAATTTATGATAACTTATACCTCTCTTGAATATTTTCAATTGCATATTTTTTCAATTTTAAACATTAAACGATTTCAAATTTAGGTTAACAAATTTTAACAAGTAAAGTAAGAACTACTGACTAAAATTTTTGAAAATGAAACTAATGACCGAATAACCCTGGTCATTCAAACTACTGAAATGACAAAAAATAAGAAGTTAACCTGAAAAGTATAATGAATGGTCATCGCAAAATAAAGAAACGATTTTGCAGTTTTAGAAATCGTTGATAAACTAACATTTATTTTTGATTGTACTGAAAATTGTGCAATTTAGTATAATGGGTAAACAAAGAAGGCAAAGAACAAAATTCCACATTTCAAATAAAATTTCTGGCAAAAATATTGAAGATGGAATAGCCACTACAAACTCAACACAAGACAATACAAATAAACTTATGTTTATACCTGAAAGTGACTTATTTGCTGGTTTAAATATAGATATTAATTCAATCAGTAAAAAGTTACCTGAAGACACTTTAAGCAAAGTATCATTCAGAAGTAACAAACCTGAATTAGGTAAACACCTACCAAAAAAGGACAAGTTAAAACTTAAAAAAGAAATGCTTCTGAAGAAAATAGATGCCATTAATCAGCTAAAAAAAGAAAATAAGTTACGTAGTAGAAGGAAGAGAAATGCTATCATAGGTGATACTAATCCTCTTCATGATGCCTTGCCAACATTGGAATCATTAGTTGATAAACAAGCAGCTAAAACTAAAAATTCATCAAAGTGTACACTCAAAGGAATTCAAAAAGTCTCCAGACGAAAAAAAGAACTTAAACAAAACATTATGATATTTAAAAATTTACTGAAAAAACAAAAAATTAAAAATAATCCATTTGTCAATGTATAATTGGGTATTAAATAAGTATTTATTATTAATTGTTTTTTCAATCTACTCGTATAAGATAAGATTTGGCAAACAACTATAGAATTTCTTTCGTATATTTATTGTAGGAATTGGAAAAAATTACACAATAAATTTAAAGTTTAACTCTAAACATTTTTCATAATCTTTACATAAATAATGTGCTTATCTTGATAATTAATTTCAATAACTGTTACATACTTATTGAGAAGTTATAATTTCTAACTTAAGATTAGAAATTCATAATCATCAGTTAAACAATTAATTCCTAAACATTTTTACAACATTTTTAGATTGATTGAGTAATTTTTTTGGTCATGTATTGCTTGGAAATGTATAGAGTAATTTTTTAAATAATTTATTGATTAAATGCAGAGAATTTTAACAAAAAAAAACAATTCCGGCAGCATAATCGAAAAAATTGTTAAAATGGACATTATTTTAATATTTGCAACTTCAATATACATGAATTATAAAAAATTAATTTCAAACAAAAGTGTGCAAATACAAAACCTAACATCCAAATATAACTACAAACATTGACATGACTAATTTCATATATTCATTTGACATTATCAGAATAATAAATAGTTCCTCTCTAGAACTGGTTTAAATACACTTCGTTGTAGCCCCCTGATGCTTTATTTCTTCTGCCCAGGGGGCAACAGTTCTTGTCCACGATCTTTTCCACGTAACTTTAATCCAATTACCTTTTCAATCTTTCCGATTATTACTTGATTTGGAATTCCACGTCCTGCCTCGTAGTCTGTAATTACTTGTGGTTTTTCATTTATCTTTGTTGCTAGTTCTTTCTGACTCATGTTTTTTGCTTGACGACCTTTTTGAATTAGTTTTCCGACTTCTAGTGGTACATGTTCATGACGCAGCTCTTCAGTCTCTCTATCCAATTTCGCTGTATTTTTAGCAGCCACATGTTGTTTGTTACTTCCTGCACCCCCTTAAATTATTATATGAAATTTAATAAACGTGGAAAACTCGGGAACATTACTTGACTCACACTTTTGTTGCGTTTCTATAACAGCGCCTTGCCTTCGGGCTGCGTTAACTGCCTGTTCACTTTTTAAAGTTGAAGCTTTAGGTGCCTTTTTCCTCAGAGTGACAACTGTATCCCAATCGGACATTTCGAATTCCTTAAATTTGTTAGCCAACCAAGAACGAATATACAAATTTTTGCTTACTTATGTATTAGTATGTATGTATATTGACAATAATCTCAATACTTATGAAGGTAGAAGCGCACGATAAAAACTTTAATTTAAAAAACATAAACGTAGAAGAAATACCTATATATAATTTTCTACGTGTGTCTGAGTAGTAAACAGGTTCATTCAAAAAACAAGAAATTTGGAAAATATAACCAATTCAGTAAAAATAGTCTTCATATAGTTTTTTTTTGGTCTTGCATATGTATTAGTATATTTTAAAACATCCGTAAATAATCGTACTCAGTCAGATATTATTTGTAACTACATTGTATGTAGGGTATGCAATCAGTATAATTGTATTTCAGTGCTAAAAATAAAAAATTGTGTTTTATATTCAAATTAAGAAAAAGGACCACATGAACTCTACGCCACTGGAATAAAACATATTTAAAGTGAAGTTCGTGTTTCCTTTTAGTAATAATAATAGCAGAGGACAACTACAAACGCAGAGAACGGAACGAGTGAACGTGGTGGAAATCGCCATTTTGTGTGACCATTGTTTTTTTTGTGGAAAAGGAAGTTTTATTCATCAGAAAAGGTAAATTATTTAGAAATATATAGATTTATCAACCATTTTCCAATAAATTAATTGCATGATGGCTATTTTGTCAAGATAATCCGGAATTTATTGGGCTAACGTCATTTTGGTAGAGATCGATTTTTTCCGTTTTGCCATCATCTAAAAGTGCCCCTATAATGGCGAACAGAAGATTCAGCGGAAATAGTCCAAGATCTGGTCGATCATTTCCACAGCAGTTTCAAAACACCAATGTGAGCCCTTGGCAAGGTGGCGCAGCACCCGGTAATTCATTAAATTCTGGGTTACTTTCTCAATTAGCCGCTCCCCAGGCACAATTAGCGCTCGCTTTGACGAGCTTGCTGCAAAATCAGCAGCAATCAAACAATCCACCATCTTTGCTTTCCCTTAATACAAGCCCTGCATTTGGTAGCCAAGACAGCTACAATTCTCAAAACCGCTTTGCAAGTCGTGGTCGTGATTTTCGACGACCAGATCCTTACAACAAGGTATGAATCAACATTCTTGTTTTGTAAAACAGTTATTTTTCAGTGTCACCATTTCTGGATGATAAAAACATCCTGCACCTACTCTCTAAGTAGTAGGCTGCAAACAGCCTTTCTGCATATATACGACTGTTTCTCATTTCCTAATTGAGAGTTTTTGATTTATTTCTCTAGCTGAATCAATTTCACATTTATGGGTTGAATGAAATAATTTGATTTATAATATCACAAACTAGGCCAAGCCATGCCATAAAGTGTTCTCCTTTCTTTCTGCTTATTAATTATTTATGAAAACCCAATTGGATCTACTTTTAATACATACGTGTAGCAGTCAGTTTTACTGCTGTGATATTCTATGCAATTAACTGATAAATTTAATGGGACAAGATCAGAAAGGAATAACATTCTACTTCCACAAAATTTTATGAAGAGCTAACAGTAAAAGAAATACCACAAAATAATCTTTTTATGCTGTAGAACACATCTTCGAAATATTTCTGAATTTATTATTGTCATGGTTATTCTGTTTCCATACTAATATCTAAAGTGAAATGTATTGAAATGCATTTCAAAAGAACGTTTACTTCAACTTGCTAATTGGCAATAAAAAACTGCTTCAACAAGCAATAAAAAATATTTTCTGCATCAAACTGTGCTCCGTCTCCAATATAATATAACTAAATAATATTTACTTGTCTGCTTCAGTCATCTAATTTGAAAGGTACTTGTAGACTTCTTCAAAAAAATCAAATTATTTCTGAGCAGCCTCCGTTGCTTGAAAGTTTCATTCACGAGATGATTTTTTATAATTTTTCCAAACAGAACCGTGGCGGCTCTGGAGGCGGCAATTGGCGTCTCGAAAGTAGAGGTAATAATAAAGGTTCAAACAGAAATGATTTTCGCTCTAACAGAGACCGGAGACCTCAGTTAAAAAACAAATCTTCTAACAAACCTAAAGACTCTGATAAAAACGAAAAGGTCGAAAATGATTCTTCTATAAAGCAATCTGAAGAAGTTGTTGATGTCTCATTGGATGAAAGTAGGTAAGCTCTTAAACTTTTGACAGGAAATTAATAAGAGGTTTTATTTTGTGTTGCTTTCTAATGCTTAGTTTGTACTATTACTATTTCCTATATTAGTGTTTAAGGATATATGGGTCATTTAAAAATTACGTAACTTTCTTCCTAACACAAAATATTTTCTTAAATCTTTTTCTTTAAAATATTTATTCAAATGAACTTAATGTATGAGCATTTTAAATGGAATAATTGAGAAGTAGTAATAGTAGTTTATTATTAAAAAAGTTACCACTACTTGCATTTTAGGGATGAAGACGGTACGGAAAAGGAGAAGAAGAGGGATTGGAAGGAAGAGAAGAAGGCAGTTGGAGACAAGGAAGAAGAAGCCGTGGATTTAATCGAAGATAGAAGCAGCCCAACTGCTGAGGATGATAAAGATAAAAAAAAGGATCAGGGGATGAAACGTCCTAGAGAAGGTCGTTACCAGGGGGTACCTCCGAGTCTTCTTCATTGCTTCGTGTGTACCAAGAGTATGTGGGATGGCGAGTCTTTCCAAAATCACTTAAGAGGTAACAAGAAGGAAATATTAAATTAAATGCATTGTATACAAGTAATTAATTTTTTATTAGGAAAGGCCCATAAACAAATGATGGACAGTCTTATCGAAAGTTTCCAAATTACTGTCAATATATTACGTGAAAACATGCGCCTGGCTGAAGAGAAGAAAATGATCGAGTTGGAACGTTTTAACAGAAGTAGTCGCAATTTTCATCGCAAAGTTCAGGAACCTGAAAGTCACTGTAACATGTGTGATCTTAAGTTTTTGGGAAAAATTATTGCCCATCGCAAGTAAGTCTTTAATTGTCCCTATATAACTAAGGGCTCTTCCAGGTTTTTTGTTTTAAAACTTAAATTTTTGTTATATTGAGGAAGCTAGAACTTTACCAACAAAATAAAAAACAGAATGATTGCTTTCTATCTAAGTTAATTATAATTAAATAATATGTACAATTCACTTTTCCTTTACAAGAATAACTAATAAGCAAACTGAAAAGACGCCTTATCACTATCTTCCTTATATCATAATACGTAATAACAATAACTGACTAAATTTTCTTTTTACAGAACTGAAGGTCATCAACGTTTAAAGAGATTTCTTCACCCGTCTTGTCACCACTGTAATCTAGAGTTCCCATCACGCGTAGAATGGGTAGAACATCGTTTCACGCGGGAACATTTGAAAAAGTTAGCAGACATGGATTCTGGAGAATGTAAGCGATATGAATTTTCGAAACAACACATTTATAATTTTGCGTATCTTTTAGCTGCAAAAATTATAGAAGACGATTTAGAAATGGACCTGGAGCCTCTATTGGAGGAAAGTTTATTATCTGAAGACGATAATCCCGTTTTGGAACTAGATGACGATTTGAAAGACCTACAAAACCGTATTCCGGCTTACAAAAAAAATCGTCCGGTGGGAACATTGTCCCTAAAACCCCTGACTGGCAACTTTTGCGAAATTTGTGATCGTTTTATCCACGATAAAAATGTTGACGCTCATTTGCGATCTGAACGACACTATTACAAATTTGTAGATGCTGCTAAAACTAAATACAAAGCGCAGACTGAAAGTAAAGAGAACGATAAGGAAAAAGACGAGAACAATTGGAAACGAAGAAAGTTAGACAGTAAGGAGGACAATTCAGAAGAGAAAAAAGAGGAAACTGAGACCGTCAATGGAGATGGAAACGGTACGATTTAATTTAATTTTTATTTTTTTGCCTTAACATGAATAGGTTTTTAGAGATGTACGATCCGGAAGAGGCCTGTAATAAAGACAACGCTGCAAACGAAGACGATGAAGATGAAGAAAGACAACTCGACGAGGAAGAAGAAAATGAAGGGGATATCAAGCAAATAATAAAAGAAGAACCAAACACTCAAGAGGAATCATCACAACAGGTTCCAGTCAAAATCAAAGAAGAATCTACTGATGTACTTCAGAAAGAAGTAATTAACGAATGCTCTGTTAAAGTTGAAAAGGTAGAGAATTCACCAAGAGTTCGTAGAGTAGGACAGGTGAAAAACGGAGCTGGTCCTAAGAGTAAAACAAGAGGAAGAAAATAAGAAGTACCAATGAGGTGCGAGCATTCCGTTTCATATGTATATTAATTAAGAATATATCTTTTACTTTCTCTTTCAGTGATTTTTAAAAAACATTTTTTGCAATATTAAATAATTTAAAATCTACTGGATTTGCGAAAGTAGTTGTTTATGATATTAAATTTATATTCTTTTCAGCTTATTTTTTGATTAAATTCATTCATTAATTTTAGACTCAACCGATACATGAAATAACGTTCGAATGTTTGCATAATTACTGTAGGGTTTGAAAAAATGTTTTGTGTATATTTTTCCCCTCAATTTTTAATTAACTACCAATAGTTGCTTTGGTAAATTGTAGTTGCCTGGAACGGGAACGGGCAGACTGAAGAAATAATTTTAAAAGCACTTTTTAATGGTAAAAAGATATTTAACGGTAGTTAACGATATAATTAGTTGTATTTTTAATGTTACTAGTGGAAATTTGTGTGTTTGGTGAATAATTATCTCTTACTCCACTGTTAGATTGAAATATTTGTTTTTGTTTAAAATGACTTCACGCTCATTTTGGATAAGCTAAATATTAATTAATTACTTTATCTATTAATACATTGTAATATTCAAATGAAAGTAGCAAATAAATCTTTTATTTGACACTGAATATCTTCAAAATTTTTGAAAATGAAACTAATGACCGAATAACCCTGGTCATTCAAACTACTGAAATGACAAAAAATAAGAAGTTAACCTGAAAAGTATAATGAATGGTCATCGCAAAATAAAGAAACGATTTTGCAGTTTTAGAAATCGTTGATAAACTAACATTTATTTTTGATTGTACTGAAAATTGTGCAATTTAGTATAATGGGTAAACAAAGAAGGCAAAGAACAAAATTCCACATTTCAAATAAAATTTCTGGCAAAAATATTGAAGATGGAATAGCCACTACAAACTCAACACAAGACAATACAAATAAACTTATGTTTATACCTGAAAGTGACTTATTTGCTGGTTTAAATATAGATATTAATTCAATCAGTAAAAAGTTACCTGAAGACACTTTAAGCAAAGTATCATTCAGAAGTAACAAACCTGAATTAGGTAAACACCTACCAAAAAAGGACAAGTTAAAACTTAAAAAAGAAATGCTTCTGAAGAAAATAGATGCCATTAATCAGCTAAAAAAAGAAAATAAGTTACGTAGTAGAAGGAAGAGAAATGCTATCATAGGTGATACTAATCCTCTTCATGATGCCTTGCCAACATTNAAAAGATGCTTTATTTTTTGATTCATTTATAAAACCACGATTCTTTAATCTTAACCAAATTAGCTACCCCGAAGATAAACTGCTTCCAAAAGTAAAAACTATGAAACCTCTAAAGACAATGACCGTTCGCTACAACCTTCAGTAATTTTTTGGTATAAAAAGAATACTTACTTTTAGTTCTCGTTGTTTTCTAAATGTTCTAAATAAACATCGTCACATATATCAGTTGCATGTGCATATTGCACCCCCTCCAAGTAAGTCATATGAAATTCATCAGCAGCTGTTTCATTACTAAATGTTGCCTTCAAATGTCGCCGATAAGGGATTGCTGTAGACCATTCTACTGCCTTCCAGGTGCATTCTTTACCTTCTTGCTACAGAAAAATAAAAAATATACAAAAGTGCAATAAAAACAATTTATAACACACACATAAAACAAAGAAGAGTGCAAAACAAACATAAATTAATCACTCAGGTTTTTGTTTCCGTAATTATTAACTATTTATATTCAAAAATTTGGACAAGTACATATATTCAATTATTTCATACTTCTAAAGAAAATTATTAAATTTCAATTTAATTTATTTGCGATAGACCTAAGTACTGGAAAAAATTAAAAAACTTATTTCATAACGAAACATACCTCGACTGGTGTGTTTTGGGCAATGATTGTACTGCAAATTAGCTCTCCAGAGTCATCAGTCATATTTATTCTAGCTCCATAAATTTCTGAGTCGTAATAAATTTCCAACTCTCCCGTACCAGCGTCCTTCCACTCTCCTGATTGTAATTCTTCACTTAAAGTGCAGCGCTTTTTGAACATCGTTGACCTAAATAAAAACAATAAAAAAGTAATAACATTTTCCAAGAGAAGGAAAAACCACCGCGGTAAAAATAATCACGCACATCTTGACAGATGAGAAGTCAACATTTAAATAAGCAATTTCGATCTTGCAATTTAATACTGTAATTAACAACAATTAAAACTAATAATTCGTTTATAATAAAATATTCTTGATAGTTTTAATTAGATGTTAGTACTTACGGTAATTAATAATCACTTTGAACTTTTCTACAAAATATTTCAACTGTATACTGTATGTAAAAAAATACTCTTCATTTGAGCACACAAAACTAAAAGAACACTGTGCAAATAACATACTATTAGTAAGTGATAAAAACTTAAATAAAAATTCAAAATTACCATAATATACATTTATTATTATTTTCTTCTTTTCAATAAAAACCGAACAATCAAAGTATTAATTCACAAAATAAACACGTAAAGTACAATTAAAAGAATCTACAAAAAAATGTACAACAAAAACACGATAAAGCACAAATTATTTAGAAGCAACATACCGTTCGTCGTCATCGTCATCGTCATCATCATCATCATCTTCTTCTTCTTCGTCTTCTACGTCGCAGTCTTCGTCTTCAGCATCTTCATCTTCCTCATCGTCGACTGATTTTTGCGCTGAACTTTGACCGAAATTTTGAACGAATGATGGAACAGTATTGTTAACCTGTTGCTGGACCTTAATGGAGGCAATTGCGTCAGAAATCGCGTTGCTAAACAGTGCAGCCTGTTCTATATACTTGAAACGGACAGCCAATTTTTCAAGCTGATTGGTATCTTCAGTGTAATTCATACCGAACCACATCCAAGCTTTGTCCGACGTACTTAATGGTTGAAGATCGAGCGTTGGTGTAATTAACATATTTAATACGACTTTATGTACTTGCTCACGACGTAAAAGTAAACGGTATGTGCCTGGAATAGAATAAATATGTAACTAAATATCACACCAACGTTTTAAAGAAAAAAACGTTTCAAAACATCCTAATATGCAAAAAGTCCCACCTTTTTCTGGATGATAGAGTATTTTAATATTCCCTACGCCTCTTTCTTTCCATTCTTTTGTGTTGGCGTCAAACCGATATAATTTTGCTCTTTCACTAAATTTTACAGTTTCTTCCTCTTCGCCTGTAGTAACGACTATTTGGTCTGGTAAAGGAACTACGGGTTCATAATGTGGGTCGTATTCTTCATCGACATTAGTTCCAGTTCCAACTGATTCGGCTTCTTCATCAGTCTTGTTTTTATCTGGGTCTGCTCTTTCAGGATCTTTCTTTGATAACGATGAAAACACAGGAGCTCCAGCGCCTAAGAATGTAAAAGGTTGCTGTTCTTTATCTAAAAGAAAACAAATATATTTTTGAAATGTTCGCCACACCAAACAAAAACCGTACCCTTTTCAGTCGATTTTGGTTCAGTAGATTGCGAAGATGCAGCCAAACTAGCAAAACTTAGGCCAGGGTCGACTTTAAGAAATTCAGGTTCACTACCACTTTTTTCAGATCCACAAGTATTCAACAACTTATTCGATTCTGGAAGATTTGTAACCGAATCCGTTTTTTCTTGAGACTTTGAAACGGCTGCTGAACCAAAAATATGATTACTAACTTCTGGGGAAGTATTTAAGGAGGATGCAGTAGTGAAAATGGATGTATTTGATCCACCACCAAATACATTTGCGAACGGTTTTTCGGTTTTGCTTCCTCCAAAAACAGTGTTTGAATCGCTAGGTTTTGCTAAAAGAGCACTCGGTGATCCGAAAATGGTAGAAGTGGCAGTCGTTGATGGTAAACTAAATAGATTTCCGGTACTAAAACTGTTGGTAGGTGTTGTGTCGAAAAAAAATGACGAACCATTGGCATCCTCAGTCTTAAGGTCCGATTGCTTAGATCCAAAATTCGTCGAAGGTTTCAAAGAAAATGTAAACGTACTCAAAGGGGACGTTTCCTTCTTTGCTGCACTTGAAAATTCAAATAAAGCCTCTTCTTTCTTATTCGCTACATTTTCTAATACTGATGGCTTTGAAAGAATAGTTTTTAATGGCTCCGACGATTTTGTTAGATTGCTCGTTGTATTACTAGCTGCTCCGAAGGAAAAAGTGGTAGAAACGGTAGTTGTAGCAGCAGTGGGTGTACCAAAGACGAACTTGGGAGCCGTTAGGATTTCTTTAGTCTTTGATTTTATTTCTGCTGCACTAGTTGTTGACTTAACTAAGTCGGTTTGAAAAGGTGATCCTAGTAATTCGTCTTCTCTTTTACATATGTCACAAGTACAATCCGGCAACTGTCTGTAAGACATGAATTTTGGAGGCAAACCCAAACGGAGCGCCTCTTTTTCTTCTTCTGGAGTAACAATGGTCTCTGATACAAACTCCACATCCGAATCTTTGCTTAAAACTAAGGAGGAATTCGGTTCTTCAACTACCACTTTTTCTTTCACGTTAAAATCGGACACACTTTTAGCTTTTGGATCACCCTTGATTTTGTCTAGAGCATCTGCCACAGCTTTCTTAAATTCATTAGCCACCTCTGCATTTTTAAATCTTAAGCAAAACTGCCACTGGTTTATCTCCCCTTCAGAAAAATCTGGTGCTGAAAATAGCCAGGTTTTGTCGTCTTTTGGGAGATATTCAACTGCGGGTGTTAACCAGTGATTTAAGCAGATCTTTAGCACTTGATCCCTTCTCATTAGTACCCTTAATTTTCCATTTTTTTGCTGGTAAAGGATTTTCAAATCACCAACACCACGTTCTTTCCACTCGCCGTCAACAAATCTGAAAAGTTTTGCACGATGACAATACAAAACATCTTCTTCTTCTTCGCCCGTTTTAACTTCAATTTTATCAGGCAATGGTATGACTGGTTTGAAGTAGATCTGATCACCCTCGTCTTCTACATAACCATCAGATTCTTCTTCTCCTGGTCCAGAACTTTGCCTACGAGGCGATCTTGGAGTAAACTCAAAAGTATATTTTTGTGGCGAACCAAAGACAAAGTTTTCTTTACTTTCTTCGTGTTCTTTAGTAGTAGCCTTGGCAGGTTTGGTTAATGTGAAATTAAAGGATGTTGAATTTGGAGTGGAGATGCTCGTTTCCGTGACTGGTTTAAGATCATTCGCTATCCCAAAAGAAAATGAATTTAATCCAAATGTATTTGTAACTGAGGTAGAGGAAGGAACCCCAAAAGTAAACGTACTTCCGGGCGTACTGGTTGTAACAGCCGAAAATATATTAGAAGCTGTGGTAGAAGTAACAGTGGCAATTGAAGGGGAACAACCAAAAGTAAATTTCACCCCTGGTGTGTCTAAATTAACACCTTTACTAACTTCTTTTCTGGGAACAGAATTATCTTTTGGGGCTTCACATGCAACACAGTACAGTTTATCAGGGTCGTTTCTAATTAAGCAATCAGTGCAGTTCCATGAACCTTCTTTAGGTTTGAATGCATCACCCCAACCAGACGTTGCCTGTACAGTTGTGCTGGTAGAGGTAGCAGGAGATGATGTAATTTGGGGGCCGAAAAGGGAAGGCGAAGAAATTGCTGCAGCTGGAGGAGCCTTTTGGCCAAATGAAAATCCACCATTTGCTGAAGACAATCCAAAAGAAAATTGTGGACCAGATTCTCCAGAATCGCTCTTTTTAGGAGTTGTCCCCGACTTTGCAGTTTCACAAGCTACACAATGAGTATCTTTAATGTCATTTATAATGTAACAATTTTTACATTCCCAACTGCCGCTTTTAGGTTTGAATTTATCACCCCATCCTTGTTTGGCAGGTTCGGAGGGTTTAGGACTAGGTTCAGGAGGGGTAGATTTGATTTTTTTGTCATCTCTTGAGGTGCTTGTATTTTCCGTTTCTTTATTTTCCTCTACAACGTTTTTATTATTTAATAATTGCTGAGCTGATTGAACAGCTTTGAAGAAATTGTCCGCTTGCTCTTCTGACTTGAACCTAATGGCAAACATTTCAGGTTTAAGAACACCCTCAGAAAAGTCTTGAGCGCACCATGAAAATGCTTTAGCACCCATCTTAGTAAAATCGGTGGTCTTAAACAATTGATGATTACAGCAAACTTTATGCACTTGTTCTCGCCGCATTACTAGTCGTATAGTTTTATCTTTGAGTATTTTTATATCTCCTATTCCCCTCTCTTTCCACTCTTTTGTTTCAGGATCAAAACGAAGCAATTTAGCTCTGCTTTGGAATAATATTTCAGAACCTTCTTCACCAGTTTTAATTTCGACAAGGTCTGGCAAAGGAACAACTGGCTTAAATTCGACAGTCGGCTTAAAGTCGTCATCCGGTTGAGAATCATCAACAGCTGATTTGTCTGATTTATTCTGAGGGTTTTCTGTTGCTGCTGTTAAGGGTGAAGAAACAAAACTTAAAGGAACTGCAACAGTTTCAGAGGTGGTAGGTTTTGTAAATGAAAAAGATGCAAATGGACTTGTTTTGGGCGATTCATGTTGAGTAGTAGGTATAGGTGTAACAGTGACATTTTCCTTAAGTTTAAAAGTAGGGGTACTTGTAAAAACAAATCCTCCGAAACCAGCTGATTGAGGTTGAGGAGTGGAAATACTGCTTTTGGTAGTAGTTTCTATTTTATTAGTAATCTCCAATTTATCTGCAAAAGCATTATTAATATCTTTCTTGGCTTTCTCGAACGTTTCAGCAAATTTTTCTGCTTCTTCAGCTGTTTTAAATCGTACACACAATTTTTCTAACACCACTTTTTCATCTGCAAAATCGTTTGCTACCCACATATACGCACGATCGCTTTTAGGCATTGGTGTAAGTATCATGTCTTTTGTAATAAAGTGGTTGGCACAAATTTTAAGGACTTGTTCACGTCTCATCAACACTCTAATTTTACCAGTAGTTTTATTCTTCAGAATCTTCAATTTACCAATACCTCTTTCTTTCCATTCTTTATTATCGTACCTAAACAGTTTAGCTCTGTGACAGAAGAGTTCTTCTTCATTTTCTTCTCCAGTATTTAAAGGTACTTCGTCTGGTAGATCAATGATCGGTTTAAAATCGGGACATGGATCATGCTCTTCTGCAGATCCGACACTGGCATTACTCAAGTTGCTTTTCTCAAGAACTTGTTTATTAGACGAAGTTTGTGTAGTAATTTTATCGGAAGCAATGGCCGCAGAAGACAACGATTGAGACGATGTGCTGGAAATGACTGAATGTAGCACAGAGGGCGCACTGAACATTGTCTGTAGAGCGGAAGTAGTAACTGGTATTTGATAACCGTGTGGCTGCGATTTGGGGGGTAGATTGCCCTTCAGGTGTTGCGGAGGAATGGTTACAGATAATATTTGAGGAGCTTGCGCAGTAGTTTTTGGTAGCGGATCTGAAGAGGTAATAACAACGTTTATCGGTGGAGCTTTACTTGATGCCACAGAAGATGGAGTATAAGAAGATTGCAGAGATGTGGTAGGCATTGAAGTGATAGCTAAACCCGTGTCCAACTTGTCTTTAAATAAATTCGATTGTAGTAACGGAGCTCCAGCGAGTCCAGTTGATTGAGTTAAATTAGTGGACTGACCCAAAGTTTGCTGCCCTAGGTTCAAGTGCGCGAATGGTGACTGTTGAGATAAAGTTTGAGAGCTGAGAGCTTGACTCAACTGGCTTGTACCATGAGTGTTTAAAGTTTGTCCAATCTGACCTATGGTTTGGGCATTGAGTGTCTGGCCCAACTGACCAAGTGTATGTGAAGATAATGGATGTGTTAATGTTTGAGCATTGAGGGGTTGACCAGGCAAAGTTTGGTTTAAACTGGTTTGACCTAAGGATTGTTGTCCGTATAAAGTTTGACCCAGAGTTTGAGTTAATCCTCGAAAATCGGGAACCTGGGCATCTTGACCAAACGGTAGTGCACCTGTGTACAAAATTGAAAAATATATATATTAAATATTGAATTATTATCGAATATTTTTAAAAGAAAACGACAATGCATGAATAAAACTTTAAATATTTACAATAATCCCAAAAGGAGTAATATAAACTATTTTACAACTGAATCCTAATAGTAAGACATACCTGCTTGAGGTAAACCAAGACCCGGAAATGGATACAAGGGTGGGTACATGCCAGCGTATAAAGCATACGGCAAAGCATTGGCAGGTTGAACTCTATTCTGGTAATTCGAGTAAAGGCCTTGATTCAAATTTCCTAAATTAGCATTAATATTATAATCTCCGCCAAACTCTTCGTCCAGCACATACAAGTCTTCATCGTTTAACTGATTGTGTTTTGGTTTATTTGAACCACTCTTTAATTCTGCAATTTCCTTTTTCATCTCTTGTACCATATCTGTAACATCTCTAAAGTTTTGAAGATCATCGACAGAATTTTTCAACTCGTTTAGGGACTTTTTAATATCTTTAAGTTCCTCTACAGAAGTCTTTACAGACTTTAATTCCTCAACAGTAGTTTTAATTACGTCTTTCAAAGACTCGACCATGACTCGATTCTGTTCCAGAATTTGCGTAAAAGCACTATCGCGTACGGTTTGCAATTGTCGCAACTGTGCATCCAAACGTTCGGGACTCGGTCGAGCTTCGTGGCGAAATGAGCCCTCCAATTTGGGAGTCAGATATACGCTGCGACTGCTATCCCTTTTAGGCGTAACGTGACCATTGAAACTGGAATTTGGTAAGGTATGTATCGTGTGGATATTAGGGTTATCCCCTGTACTAGCAAAGAAAGAAAAGTTGTCTTCGAGTAAACTTTCTCCATCATTTTTAAAACCGTTTATGTCGGTATCGAATTTGGATATAAGTTTTTCTACCTTCTCTATTTCGTCTCCCAACTGGGCATTTAATGGATGTTTATGATCTGCTGATGGATCTCTAAGTCTATCTAAAGTTAAATAATAACTATCCCTGGTTCGGGTTAGAAGTATGATATATTGATTGCGCATTTCAGAGGTTAAATTTTGTCTATTTTGGCCTATCTGTTCTTCTGCCATTTTGAAGTATATTTGGCCTTGATAAAAACTAGCATACGGATCTTTAATATTTTCTAAAATATTTAGCGCTTTTTCATAATCTTTCAAACTAATCAGTCTTGTCGCTAAGAACAGTTTACCCTCATCTATGGTGGAAACTATTTCGTCGTAAGTCATGGCTCTCGATTTACAATCAAAAAGCGTATCTTTTGTATACGTTACGGCACGTTTATTTCGTAACTTTTCTAAAATAGTTATCGCCGTTTTCCAATAAAGCTCAGCATGCGCATTATTAGCCTCTATTTCGGAATGTTTAGTGCAATTCTTCGCTCTTTCGACAAACACCCTGGCGAGTTTTATTAACAAATTGGCACTGAGGCCATGGTTTCCAATACAACGAACCACCTCTAATCCTCTTATTAACGTTGTCCTTATTTCTACTAAATTATGAGATAGTTCCTTTTTATACATCTGGTAAGCAATTGTGAACCATTTATGTTGATTAACAGTTCCCAAAGCATTAGTAATAGAAGCAGGAAGAACTTCTGGTTTGTCTTTATGGAGTAAGATATTTCTTTTGGATTCTTCGATTTGCGCTTCTGCACAAAAAACTGCACAATAAAAAAATGCCTGAATATCCAACAAGCTCAGAGATTCTGCTGATGAATTTTCTAAGTGTTTAACAGAATAAGGCAACCCATCAAAAACTGAACAATCAAAAGATGGTAGTATAGTATTTAGTCCAATCCAAATAAGATGGTGCAATGAATTTGGATAAAGCAGTTGCCCTACTTGATCAAATTTCAAAATATTATTCTTATTAGAAAGAGTTATTGGAAAATCAGTTAGTGAAGAGCTGTTTACAAAAAAGCTACTTTTGATTTTTGCTTGTTGGTCTCTTGTAACAAAAATTTTTTTGAAAATTTGGGGTCGCCAAAGTCCAGAACATAACTGCTGTGTTTTCTCAATTACCAAGTGCTTCTTGTTTTTAGCAGCAGATGTAAGGATATGACCTGCTTGAGAGCATCTGTAAGAGGCCTCAACATGCCATCTTTTCATCAAGCGCTTGTATTTATCATCAGCATGGCTCAGCCAGATACTTTCAAGATCTGGAGGTTCAGTGTGAAAAGCCACAAACAGTAAAGGTAAAGTTATTTGAGATGCCTCTTTATAACTTATTAGATCTTTCTTAGCTTGTTTGAATAGCAAAGTTGTTAAATACAAAGCTAATTGGCCTTTGTAATGGTTAATGAACTCCTGAATAAGTGGTCTTTCTGGACAATCCTTGATAAGTTTTTCTTCAGCAAGAAATAGGGTTTGGTCAAAATTATAAACACATGTTACATAATCTGTACTGCTCTTCGTTGATGTAAAATATTCATCTAAACTTAGGGCAGAAAATTTATCCAAAATGGTTAGAAGAAGCAACCAAAATTCCCATGTTAAATTACTATTCACCAGATTATTACTTTGATATCTTAATAGAACTTCAGTGGAAACTTCATACCAAGAAAGGCTGTTTGCAAAAACAGGAAGGTTTTGTTGTTCTAATTCATAAACATGCTTATAGGCCTCATCAATTTTATCATATTCCAAAAGATGACGTAACAGTTTGATTCTGCTGTTGATATTGTTTGGTTGCATTTCCAACTCGTTAAGGTATAGTTGAGTAATATCATTAGGATTGTCACTTTCAAGTTTAATAATTTTTTCTTTCAAACTGTATAATACTGGGTTTTTGGGATCTATTTTTTGGGCTTTTTCACAGTAGTAACGGGCTCCAGTTAAATCAAAATTGGTGTTTTCCAGAGCCAATAATTCACAAACTGTAAAATAGAAATTACTCTTAAACCTCAATTGCATTGTGTGAGTTATACTCATTCAAAAACTAAAAAAACTATAAAACTTAAACTACTGCAATCATAAAAGGTAGGAAAAAATAATTAAATATACATAAAAAGAACACTTACTTTTAATAAGAAGATTATTTTGTTTGGAGTCTAATTCAAAGCTTCTGCGATAAGCCTCAAGTGCTGAATCATATTTTTCCTGCTTTTCTAAAGTTTTTCCTAACAAATTGTAAGCTTCGGCAGAAGGTTTTACATGCAAGTAAGCAGATACAAAACGACGAGCACTCTCATAATCACCAACTTTATAGTACAACTTTGCAAAGGCATAACCCCTTAGATTTCGCTATAATAAAAACAACATTAATCTTTTTTAATGAAAGTAAACAAATTCATATGAATAACCTCTGTTAAATTTCTAACTATATATTGACTTTTTTAAAATACAAATACATACTTTAATACTATTAGAAAATTTATTATACTTTGATGGTAAACAAGAAATACATTTGCCGATAAACATAACAACAAACTTACTTCTCAACTTCCTNCCTAACATTATTCTAATGTATCAGCCCGCCTTCGGCGGGCAGGGGCATTAAACAAACTCGAGTCTGTCATACATCTACCTAACTAAACAATGACGTCATCAATGCATATTTGGCGAGAACAGCTGACGAAGGGCTGCAGCCAGGGCCGTACCAATCGAAATTTCCTCCGATTAAATAACTTTAGGGGCCTGTATCTCAAGCTACATTGGTTTCCGCACGGAATTAATGCTACCACACGATTCTACTTGGTCAGTACTACCTACCTGACTAAACTTCATGTCTCAATTCCAATGTCAACTAATGTAAAAAATAACCAAATAGACTGTTAATAGCATTGATCAAAATTAACTTTAAGGCATTTTCAACAGCAATAAAAGGTGAATAACTTTTTGAATTTGCAAACGCCGGTTAATGGCGGACTCCGCAATCTTCCTGCTTACCTCTCGCTCGTTGTTGATTTTCTTTATATTATTTTCTACGTGTTTGTCCACTTCTAATTTTGTAGTAAACATTTTTTTTACTTATCCAACTTTTCAACATACCACACAAACAGCACTTTAATTGTTATTTTCTCACTTTTTGCATCACAAATTCGTTATACTGAACAATAAAAATAACTGCGTTTCCCCAAAGGCAAACGTTTACAGTTCTCCGATCTATGATTTTGATTACAACCATAGATTAAATTACAGCCTGATTACAGACGCGGCTGCGTATAAAAAGGCAATATAAATATAAAAAGCCAAATTTTTAAACTAAGCAATTGTTTATAAATTCTGAATATGCACAAGAAAATATTTGTGTATGCGAGGAAAAACAAAAAATAAATTTAATTTTTCAGTGTCCTCTAGTGTAACCATAAGTAATCCTATCTTATAGTTAAGATGACTTATAATGAATATTATACTTGGATAGCGGAAAATTATAAGGATATTAAGTGATTATTACATATATACCTAACAATTTCTTTAACAAAAAACGAACGGTTACAGAATTACATATTTTCAATTTTCTAACGTATCTATTGTTTATCTAATCTATGAACTAGCCATAGATAGATAAAAGTCTTCGATGAAACTTGTATATCTATTATCTATGGTCTTAACCTAACTAAAAGTCCTAACCTAAATATAAAAAGATAATTATCTTTTTAGTTATGTATTAAAAATTCACAAATAATTATTTATTCTCTTTGTTGTTCTGTACAAGTACTGCTTATTTACTACTTAAACTGTCCAATGAATTTGTATATTAAATCATTTCGTTCAGGATTTCTTTCCTCAGAAATCCAATTAAAAGGTATCAGTAATTGTCTTCAGTAGAACATGCGAAATTACCACAATTATTTTTAGAATGGTTTCGTTTTGCTAGTAAAAAAACTGGGGGTAGTTCTCGAAACCCTCCAGATAACACTAGACCAAAACATCGAGGGTGGAAGAGACAAGATGGACATTTGGTTGAAGCTGGTACAATTTTAGTATTACAAAGACATCTTCGTTTTCATCCAGGTCTTAATGTAAGTATCTTATCAATGAGGTATATAAACTTGGCCCAAATATTAATAATCCATCAATAATAGTTTACTAATAAAACTTCATACAAAGCAATGTACATCCTTTTTCTTTTTCAGGTAGGACTGGGTAGGAATGGCACCTTATTTGCAATAATTCCAGGGAAAGTAATGGTTACTTGTGAAAAAGTTGATCCTGATTGGGAGCATACATGGATTCAAAGACATTATTCACATAGAAAAGGTCATGTTTTCTTTAAGAAGTATTTTAATGTAATACCAAATCCTCAACATCAGAACTTTAAATTAATAGATACTGTATAAGATTTTGTATGTAAAATAATAAATTAGAAAACAATTACAAAAAGTTACCTTTAAAAAAAAATAACCTGTGTTAACTATCAAACCAGCTCAGAGTGTAGTAAGAAATTTCATTATTTGATTTTACAAAGGCAAAAACTGTTCTTTTCTTAACAGATGTACTTAATCTTCCTAGTGCTACAAGTTCACATGGATGAAAAATACACTCATTCTCTGAAACACAATGAACTATAAAGACTGCATGGAATGCAACAGGATCTCCTAAAACAGTACTTGTTAATATAGTATTATTCACATACAAAATGATTACCTAAATAAGCCAAAAACTCCCCTCCAAATTTATTTCCAGAAGTTATATAATAACCTTTATTCCAGAGGTCATCAAAAACTTTACATTTTTCATTTGTAGTGTGTTTAAGTATTTCTGTTAATGGAGTTTCCTTAAGTTTTCCTATTTGCAAAATACATTTTAATAAATATCCAGATCCAGTCTTATAAATAAATTTGTTTACCAGTCAGTTCATTATAATGTTTGGTAACTATTGGCCACAACATATGTTGTTCTGATATATTTCCTGATTTTTCTAACTCTTGCTCCAATATTTCCTTTTTGGAATGTATTATAGCAACATCATCTTTGTCTTTATTACATTTCCCTTCAACTATTTTATCTATCATACCTTCCAATTCTTTTCTCCGTATTTCTTTAAATACTACTTGTTCCTCTTTGTACAATTCTTCAGTATAATTCTTAAATTTCTTTTCTGCTTCTTCAAGTGGTTCTTCTGTTATTTCTGGAAGGGTAACTACATTTGCTAATTTACGAGTAACAAGAAGATAAACCTCTTCTGGTAGCAGAATCACAGGCATAGCTTAAAAAATCATACTACAAGTAATTTAATAATTAAAGATAAATAGTCTACTAACAAGCTGCTGTAAGAGAACTCCCTGCGATTTTCCCAACAATTCTATGTTGTTTTCTTAACTTTTCATAATCTAAAAATTACCAAATAATAAAATATAATTACAGAAAACATACCAACTTACCATTTAGGTTAAATACATAAACTACATCGTTAATTAAGTGTAAATTAATCATAATACCAAAGAATCCTGATGAAGTACACAACTAGAATCATATCATATACAGAATAAATAAATAAGATACCGGATAAGATATAGTCATAGATAATAGAATAGTAGAGTAGTAGCTGCTCGACTCGAGTGCGACGTGCGACTACAGCAGGTTTAGTTGAGGTTTAGTATTGTTATATTGAGTGCATGTCTGATTGCATTGCACTCAAAAATCGTCAGTGTCAAAAACGTCGAAATTGAAAGCCATGTGAAAATCATAGATAAAGTCAAAAAGAACGAAACGAACTCACAATCTATGTCACTATTTTTATCTATAGATAATTTCTATCAATGCTCGCAAAATGGAAGTGTAGCTCGTACCACTGTACGGTTACAACNAGTATAAAATTATTGAAATTGTGTTTACGTCATACTTGGATATCTAGGCATTTTTTTCTTGTCATAAAGCTTATTCCACTTTAAGTTATACAAATATAATCGCGTATGACACATACTTTAATGCTCATTCATTTCTTTCATTTTATCAGATAAAAAAAGTTATCAACTGAAATGTGTACTCGTCGAGGTGCAGTAAAATTACTTAAAAGTAATAATAATAATAAAGTTCGAACAATTACAATAATTAAATGTTATAAAGTGTAAAGTTCATTTTCTGAGAATTACACGTTTCTGTTTAATGTTATTGTAATTTATTGAAATGTATGCGGTCTCACCGTTTCATATTGTTTGTTCATAAATGAGTTTAAATAATGCGATGTAAAAAAGAAAATTGAAATTCAAATGTAAAAAGTGTTATATGACCTAGATTTTCCTTGATGTTGAAAGTAATTTGTAAACAATTTAATCTTGTTGTTAGCCTTGAATTATCAACGTTTCTACACTGATTCTAAAAGTTTCTCGCACGTACATTATTTTGGAATGTATGGATTGATAATAACAAAAATTAACACAAAATATGTACAAGTTTGCGACAAGTATGCTAACATAATTATTATTAAATCTGGTTTGGTTAGTTATTTCTTCTTATCGCTTTGTGGTCGACCAAACTAATGATTTTAAAATATTCATGTTATTACAGTGTTTTGCCTTTTTTTCTATACAAAAAGTAAAAGTTATAGAAAATTTAAACGTGTAATACAATAATTATGGTAATTGCAGCAAATACTTAAAAAAGGAAAAAAATTTAAGACTTGTCCGTATAAGAATGAAAATAGATTTATTTTAGGTTGGATAAACAAGTTCAAGGGACTGGCATAACCACTACTGCGTCCGCACAACTGCGGAAATGTCATGTGCAATTCTCAAATTCAAAACCATGCCAAAACGTAGGATAATATGCAAAATAATTACGTTGAATGGTATTGTCACATTAGACTTTAGCTATAAATAAGACAAAGGTCAGAATGTTATTAGATAACATATGGTGTGACGTTTTAAAACATAAGAGGTTAGTGCAGCTAATCTCAACTAATCAAGTGATAAAGAAAATCCATAAAGAGGTCACAATCATTCCATGTTATTCGCCGCGACAGAACGTACGCAGCAATGGGACTACTTGTAGGTTCTATAGATGAGGGCACCTCAAGTGCAAGGTTTTCAATTTTCAAAGTTGGAACTTCAGAAATAGTGGCTTCACATCAAATGGAAATTAAAAGAATACATCCTAATGATGGCTGGACTGAACAAGATCCTTTTGAATTATTAAATTCAGTGAAAAAGTGTATTAAAATTGCCACAGAAAAATTAGTTGATTCAGGTGGAAATGTGAAAGACATAGTTGCAATTGGAGTAACAAATCAAAGAGAATCTACAATAGTATGGGATAAATACACTGGAATGCCTTTGTATAATTCTATAGTATGGCTAGATGTAAGGACAGCACCTCTGTTAGATTCATTACTTGAAAAAACACCTGATTCAAACATGGACAAAAATTACTTGAGACATATTTGTGGCCTTCCAATGTCCCCTTATTTTAGTGCTATTAAGTTAAAATGGTTAAAAGACAACATTCCTGCAGTGCAAGAAGCAATAGAAAATGATAGATGCTTTTTTGGAACTGTTGATTCTTGGTTAATATGGAATCTAACTGGAGGTGTTAATGGAGGGGTTCACATCACTGATGTCTCAAATGCATCACGAACCATGTTAATGAATATTGCAACATTTAAATGGGACAAGGAATTGCTTACATATTTTGATTTGCCTGACTCTATTTTACCTGAAATAAGATCTAGTTCAGAAATTTATGGTTATTTTTCTGAAGGACCTTTAGAAGGAATTCCTCTTGCTGGGTGTCTAGGAGACCAACAGTCGGCCCTTGTGGGTCAACAGTGTTTAAAAAGTGGCCAGGTAATTATAAAGTTTTTTAGATTTTCTTTCCACTATTTCCAAAAATTTGAAAACAATTCTTTTTTCTGATAAGATAAAAAAATGCAGTAGCAACGGTGAAATATCGACTCTTAAGGTCTTCACTTGTCTATGAATGGACATTTATTTCTATAAGCAAAGGCTTACTTTATTTACAGTATATGGTACATAATATGCTGTTCGATTCAGGCGAAGTTATGCGTTTTGCGATGTTCATACTATCGAATGTATAATTTTAATATATTTGATAATATTAGTATACATATGAATATAAGCATGTGTGGAATAAGAATAGAGTCCGACTAACGCTATATTTGTTTTGCATTTGACGGAATCATGCATTATAAAACATGACAGTGGGTATTGACGAATGAAATGATTTACTTAATGTCGTGCCTAAAATGTCTTAAATTCCTTCATTTCGTTTCATTATATCAGATAACTACATTAGTTACGGAATTAATGTTTTTTCTCTCGAAAAAGTAATAATTTATAACGTTTTTCCTAACACCTCTCGAAACAATTTTTAGAAGCTTTTACACAGTTAAACACAATTTAAAAACATAACTATTGTTATTATTCTCCACTTTTTCAAACTTATTTTTTACATTTTAAAAACAGCTGATTTTTTTGTCATCCATCGATTGTTTCTGTATAACTTTTTTAAACTTGTAAACTTTTTTAAGAATGAAATTTTTGCTGATAATCGCGCGGGTGTGTTTTGATTATTGGCCAATAGTTTGTCAGATTGTGATTAACTCGTAAGAGTAAAAAAAGTTACGCTGTATGACGTGAAACGTCCTTCGCAACTTTTTTTTGTTTATCCGCTAATAATATTTTACAAATACTTTCGTTTTGAAACAAATAGAGTTATTCATACATTTAAATACTTATAATGATACAATAAATTTACAGTAATCGCAATTTTTTAATTCAATTTAGTTTTTCGCCTTGTAATTGGTAGTTATTCAAATTCAAATATTATATAAACACATTTAAAAAGAGGTGGATTTCGGATTGTTTTTCTTTTAATTGATAGAAGGGAATAGAAAGTTAAAAAAAACCTACAGAAAAGTAAAATTTTCTTCATTTACCTTTAGGAGTATAAAATTATTGAAATTGTGTTTACGTCATACTTGGATATCTAGGCATTTTTTTCTTGTCATAAAGCTTATTCCACTTTAAGTTATACAAATATAATCGCGTATGACACATACTTTAATGCTCATTCATTTCTTTCATTTTATCAGATAAAAAAAGTTATCAACTGAAATGTGTACTCGTCGAGGTGCAGTAAAATTACTTAAAAGTAATAATAATAATAAAGTTCGAACAATTACAATAATTAAATGTTATAAAGTGTAAAGTTCATTTTCTGAGAATTACACGTTTCTGTTTAATGTTATTGTAATTTATTGAAATGTATGCGGTCTCACCGTTTCATATTGTTTGTTCATAAATGAGTTTAAATAATGCGATGTAAAAAAGAAAATTGAAATTCAAATGTAAAAAGTGTTATATGACCTAGATTTTCCTTGATGTTGAAAGTAATTTGTAAACAATTTAATCTTGTTGTTAGCCTTGAATTATCAACGTTTCTACACTGATTCTAAAAGTTTCTCGCACGTACATTATTTTGGAATGTATGGATTGATAATAACAAAAATTAACACAAAATATGTACAAGTTTGCGACAAGTATGCTAACATAATTATTATTAAATCTGGTTTGGTTAGTTATTTCTTCTTATCGCTTTGTGGTCGACCAAACTAATGATTTTAAAATATTCATGTTATTACAGTGTTTTGCCTTTTTTTCTATACAAAAAGTAAAAGTTATAGAAAATTTAAACACAAAAATAACACACTAATATCAAAAATATCCTAAATTATTTTTATTTTTATTAGTATTGTTATTTGGTATATTAAATTAAAAAAGACTTGATTTTCGTTTTAATCGAAAGAGATATTCTCTTGGAGCCTAAACTGCCTAACAATTGTGTTTTTTTTATTAGGCAAAGGCAACTTACGGTACAGGTTGTTTCCTCTTGTACAATACCGGAACCACAATGGTAGATAGTCGACATGGTTTGTTGACGACCGTGGCGTATCAGATGGGACCAAACGAGCCTCCCGTATATGCTTTGGAAGGCTCCGTGGCAGTTGCAGGGGCTGCCCTTTCTTGGTTAAGGGACAATCTTACAGTTTTATCTGATTTTGATCAGGCCCAAAAACTAGCCGAGGAAGCTGAAAGCGAAAATGGAGGAGAAGTTTATTTTGTACCAGCCTTCAGTGGGTTATATGCTCCTTACTGGCAACCAGATGCAAGAGGGTGAGTTTCTTCCATCTTTAAGTAATAAAATAATGATAGTTAAGTTAAGTCAGGTAACACTGTTATTAAGAAGTATATTTTGCACAGTATTAAGAACTTTTAATTTCTAGAATAATATGTGGAATAACTCTTGATACAAAAAAAGGACACATAATAAGGGCAGCTCTTGAAGCAGTCTGTTTTCAAACTCGAGATATTTTACAAGCTATGAACAGAGATTATGGAAAAGAAACTCTCAGTGTTTTGCAGGTAAATGAAAATAAAATTGTAAATTTTAGATCTAATGAATCAAAGTGCGTCAAATGTGTAATTTAACAAACTTGATAATTTTTATCATTATTTAAGTTTTATATTTCTCAATATGTAAACTTATTTAAATATTACGATTTAAATGAAATCACAAAAATATTTCACCGAATGATATAAACATTTCGATTTGGGGGTAGGGAAAATCAGAATTTAATTTCTTATTTATTTCAAGATTATTGCTAATACTGATTTTTATTAAAAACACAAAGTTTATGAAGAAAGTCGCATCTGTTAATATTTCAATCATGTATATTTGGACTTTGCATTCATGACAAAAAGCTTTTGAACTGTGAAGTTAAACTATAATCTTTTTTTAGGAATTATCAAATACACGTTCTGTTCATTCTTTTAACTTTGATATATTAGGTAATATTGTATATTAATAATATTCACTTTACCAATAATAAGATGAAAGTTTAATTACATTACTAATATATTGTTTGTATTAAATTTAATTTAGAAAACATTTTTTTTGACCTCCGAATTTTATTTTATATAAATCCTTAATTGTTTGTAAACTTAATTGAATTACTTTCGTGAGGTTTAATATTATTATTATTGTGGAAGCATATACATAAACTGATAAGAGAATAATGACTTTGGTTAACTTTCCATTAACATACCAATTAAAATTGGTTTTATCATTTTTTTCTTATTATTATATAGGAATAGAACGAATTATCTAAATCATTTCTTTTTCATAATTGTACACAAAATTGTCGGAAATTCCGTACAATAATTTGTAAAGAAAATCACTATTTGGATATAGATATTTTTTTTAAACGCGTATAAGAATATACTTTTTCAAAACAAAACTATTTAAATACAAATATAAACACTTTAACTAACAAATAAGACTTTAGAAGTATTTCAAATGTTGAAACAACTAGGTTGAAGGTATAAAGTATACATTTAAGTATTTAAATAGTAATATTAACCCAAATGGGAACGTAAGCTTTTAATCATGGACCACCATAAATGTATTTAAATATGTAGTCCAAATACTTTGATTTTCCACCTCCTAATTGTTTTATATATTTTCTTCTAATTATTTGTTGTAGTAATTTTAATTAGATAATTATTTTATTAATTGTTGATTGTTAAAGGTGGACGGAGGAATGACAGCAAATACATTGTTAATGCAATTACAAGCTGACCTGGCGGGGGTAACAGTGGTCCGTCCAAATATGGCCGAATGTACTTCTCTGGGTGCTGCGATGGTTGCAGCAGCCGCGGTGGGACATTGGGATCTCAAGGGTCCACCCATTGATATCCCTTCCAGAGTTTGGACCCCAAAAATCACAGATGAACAGAGGGTATTCAAGTCTTCCAAGTGGAAAATGGCAGTTGAGAGATCTTTAGGATGGACTCTTTGAAAATAAAGTGTAGTTTAATTTTTACTTTAATTTTGAATTGTTTAGGATATTTAAAAATGATAAATCATACAATTTTCTTTTCAAAAAATATTACTTAAAACTGAAGTGATTTTAATAACGAAGTACTGGTGAGTACTGTTATTACAAAAAAATTATGAAGGTAGATGAACATGAAAGGCGTGTTGAAGAAAGTCAACAAATTTAAATTTATGACAGCTACATGGTCATTGTATTCCAAAGTTAATTTTGTGTGATATTTGTCCTATTTACTTCTAATTATTTTAAGTAGTGGATAATTATTCATCTAATTAGAATGTTAGTTTATGAAAATTTAAAGCGAACATTTCATCTTACTTATAATAAAAAAGGAATTGTTTTCCTTATATAACAGCAGCTTGAAAATAGAAGAAAACCTTATTATTCTAGTCAGGTTTTTATTTATTTTTTAAGGTCGTTGTTGAATAGCTAATGTCACAATCAGTACAAATTAAATGATACATATTTAAACATTTTGTGAAACAAGCCAAGTGTTTCACTTTAAAGCTATTTAGTATTAACATTTAATATATAATTCATCATGCGTTAAACAACCATTATTTAAAGTTTGTTGAATGGTGAGGTTTCGGCTATTTTTTATTAAGTGAAATTAAAAGTTAGTGTATTTAAAAATACAACAAACCATATGGTGTATCGATATGACCAACAACTTAATGTTTCTTATAAACTATATTTTATTTGTTTTCTCTTTTTTATATTTCAAAATATGTCTATTTTCAAGCTTGTTATTATTTGTTTAATATTTTAAAATTTGCTTAAATGAAGACAACAAATAACCGTTATCTACTTGTCTAAATGACCATTTGTCCTTTGTTGAATTTATGATGATTGAATTGTATTTCCTGTTTTTATTATAATTTTAGTTTTTGCTTATGAAAAATTTCTAATCGCGAAATAAAAATGATAAGTGTACTTAAAGTATGTACTTTGTACTTTTTATAATATTCATATTTCTAGTATCATTGATATCACTTACGCTGAATTAAAACAAAAATTTTTCTCTAATGATAAAATGACATACCTAAACTGTTGTAAGCGAATTACCTTGCTTGTTGATTAACTTTTTTTGAAATTTCAGTAAACCAATACATATTGTTTGCAATCATATTTACTTTGTTAATTGTTTTTATTAGTTTTTAATTCATAATAGTATTTATGTAAATGTTCTATTTGGTAATGGGATAAGCTTTTCGAGAACTATTTTTACTATCATTTTCTTAAAAATATTATTGCTGCAGTATTATAATAAAACCATTTACAAAGAAGTAATAATTACTTATTGAACAAATATTTAATAGTACAAAACTTTTATTAATCAGACAAACAACATTTTTAATTTAAATTTGCACAAACTTTTACAAATTGTAAAAATTACACTGGTTTTGTTATATTACGTGCACTATTTAATTTATAAGTAATTTATTTTGACAAAATTATGTTTTTTCGTTTAATAAGGAAAATTACATGCACAAGACTGAACATGAACTTTTTTAGTAGAATTATTTTCGTAAATTACCAATCGTTGATATTTTTTGTTAGTTATTAGAATTTGTTTGGTTTTATTTTAAATAAAAACTTTAAGTATTATGTGTTTAATAATACCCCAGAAATTGTTAAACGATTTTCCTGTGAAAAATAATGGAATACAGAAAAGTTTTATTCTACTCAAGGTTTAGAAAAACTTAACATTTGTTAGAATTAAAGTATAAAATTTTAGATAATCGTTTAAGTTTTAAAAAGACATACTTACATACTTCTTCACAATACCTTTCGAATTTGATTTTGATATAGTTGGGATTACACATTCACATGTTGCTTTTACTCGGCTTTTTAATTTACAAAACATCCCTAGAGATGTAAATTGACGTCTTGGTGTTTCTAATTACTTAGATGAAACGATAATTTTCTTCAAGACACCCTGTATAAAAAATATTCATATAAATACTTATAAGGTGAACAAAAACTAAATAAATATACATTTATGATAACATTGATAAGGTGAGTCACTTGGTTATTCTCTTTATATATCAACATAAAATCTAGGTGGTACATATACACACAAATAAAAAGATAAGATAAAAGCTACTAACAGGTACAGTAATTTTATGATTAGTAATACATATTCCGTTCTCAAAAGAAGAAAATAAATTTCAAAAAGTGGTGAATAAGTTGAAAAACTGCGCAAAAAATGAAAGGAAACATGTTTTTCTATTTTTTGGCAATATCTTTGGGTAAGTAGGATACTTTAAAAATTACTATATAACTTACTTAACTCCAAAATATATTGTGAACATCTTTAACAAAAACTTACATTGTTATACTTATAAACAGTTCATATGACTGATGTTACTAAATTTGTTATTTTAAATGTTTGTTCCTTTAATTAAAAACTCGAATATTTCTACAAAAATAATGTTTCAGTGATTTCTGCTATAATGACACCTGAAGCGGAAGCAAGAAGGAAAATCTTAAAAGGAAGAAGAACAGTCACACGAACATATTTCAGTAAGCTCATTAAATTTAATCTTTTTAAAATTTTAATGTTTAAAGTGAATATTACCTTGTAATAGATTTACATTGGTATATTCAAAATGTCTTAAAAATTAATATTTTGTTTTAATAGGAAACTTACTAATTCCTGCATGGGCTGTTATCCTGTTAGTAGGAATCGGACAGGTAATAATAGGAGCTATTTTCTTCCTTATTTTGAAGAAAATAATTCTTGATCCACCTTTAACTGGACTCTATGCACCTCCGCCTAACATCGAAGCATAAACGGGAAAACATCTAACATTCCCATGTACAAAATATTTTTTAATAGTTTTATTATTTACAAAAAAAGTTAACATTTCTATGCATAAATTTGTATTGTTTCTATTAAAAGTAGTTATATAAGTATTTTTTATTCCTTTATATTTACTTTGAGAGAGACAGAGAGAAATGAAAAATATGGAATAATCAGAAAATATTTTTTTCTAAAAGTGGTAATGTACATTTTTGAAAATTTCTTTAAAAATTACATACTCGATAGTGTGAACATTATCGATTCGTTGGCATATTTATTGTGTAATAAACACCTATAATTATCAAAATAAATATATATACAACAAAAATATTTGCATAATGGTTTTATCTTTTAGTCTCTTGTCTCTTCTGTGCCCAGACTGAGTCTTAATTTAATCGTTTCTATAACCGAACGTTTAGTTTGTTCACGATATATGGCAGTCTACCATAATTAATGTGCTGCACACACTTTACGGAGTTTCCGTATTGCGATGTTCACCCTATCAAGTACTATTATTTATTAAGAAGTTGTTAACTAAGATAGTATATTTTTAGAAATGAAAACCGTTTAGTTAAAGAGAAAAAGTGTATTTCCTGATAATTCTGAATCATTCCAAAATTATTCAAATATCTTGCTTAATATCCATACAGAGTACAGATTCGACATGCTCTTGTATTATAAAGAATATTTAGTAATAATTAATTAATAAACAGACAAGTTTTGCCAAGCTTATTTGTAGGATATGATGACTACTAATGAGAATAATATATATATATATATATATTGCAAAATAAACTACAAATAATAAAACATCAAGTAAATAACTCTTAACTATCCAAAAGTCCTTTTTAAAATGTACACTTTTTAAGAATCAACCAAATGTACTTTTTTGTGTCAAGTTCGTTTACACAATAATAGTCATAACTTTTTATAACTGCCAGAATAGATTTTGCCGATGAAAAACTTTTATAAAAAGTAATTAAACATTTAAGAAGCTGAGGAGGTTTAGATGAATTTTAAAAACCTTTAATTCTAATCACTATCAAATTGAACGATACTTTTAATTTCATCCCAATCAGTTTCAATTACCATATTTTGTCCTTGATGGTGCAATACTTTGACCATGACTGGGTGATATAAGTCTTTATCTAAAGCTGACCATCCAGTGTACTATAACACATTTGTAATTGTATATTTAATTTTTTTTCTTAATGAGTAACTTATGCTACACTTCAAAATTAATGCACTACTACAAGAGTGACAGAAATTCAAAGGTTATTTACTTGCAAACCATTAAACCGATTTTAAGGTTTAATCAAGCATACCAGCGGGTGTTACAGATCTCAGGTAAAAACTTATCATCATTCATATACTCTGCATTTACTATATGCAAGTAATTTTAAGCACACTATCATAACAAAAGAAGAAGGGTACTTTTTCTTCTAATAGTGCATTAATTTTGATTAATGGTACAGTAAAATTGAAATTTTACTTACAATGGAAGTATTTTTATGTTTAATTTTTCCATCTTCTTCGAAGGGCTCATATTTTTGAAGTAATGCCTTTCCATCAATTCTCCATAAACATGGACGTTTACTGGGATCACCAGATTGGGCATCTTTTTTCAAAATTAAAAAGCCTCCATTCTACAAAACCATACTTATAAAGGAAAATCAAACATGAATGTATCAGACAAACTAACAACAAAATTAGTGCTAACAAGTTTCACTTTTGCAGGGCTCTCTTTTTTAATAACAGATGAAGTTTCATTTACAGGAGAATCTGCTTCAGTTTTAACAGTGACTTTTTGTCGCTTATTAACACCATTCTTTTTAGGCTTTACATCTATTTCTACTTCTTCTTCCTCTTCTTCAAGATCACTTTCACTTGAATCCACATGTACTAGTCTTGGCTTCTTAGATAGCCTCTGGGAGGTTCTTCGAAAATTTCTCTTTTTCTATTAAGAAATGAATTTAAAGCTTAGAAAATTGACATAAGGACAATGAAAATCCATTGTTACCTCTGTAGAGCTGTTCCATTCATCTCCAGAACTTTCATAGACTTGTGGATCATCTTCGTTTTCTGAGTAATTTGACTCCAAAAAACTCATTGCTAAAAAGTTGTTAGAATACATAGATACATATTTATATATCTGCATTTAAAGCCTATTACTTTCATACTTTAATAAAATTATCAGATAAGATCAAAGCTTTAAAGGTCATGATCCGAAAGCCTATTCAAGAAGGCTCTCAAGGATTCAGTGTAACGTTTCATCATAACAGAAAAAAAAATGATTAAGGTAAATTTCTAACTATATATTGACTTTTTTAAAATACAAATACATACTTTAATACTATTAGAAAATTTATTATACTTTGATGGTAAACAAGAAATACATTTGCCGATAAACATAACAACAAACTTACTTCTCAACTTCCTTGAAAATTTACTGAGCAAATAGATGCATAACAAATGTTGAATTCTTTTTCGGTTATTTGTAATTAAACAACTAAACAGTAATTAAATAGCTCTTCAGTCCTAATGCAGCTAATCCCTTAAAGTGCTTTTTCGACTACGGCCATTTTAAAATAATTTTTGTTTTTAAAGATGAAAGATGTGAAGTTGCATCGGACAAGGGGTGTCCAACATCACTAGAAGTGGATGTACAAAATTGTTTCAAGTAATATTATGAAACTGCAATAGATGGTACCAGAATAGTGATTTTTTACAAAGTATTTTCTAAGTACAATGCTATTAAAACAAAAGCCGTTTAAATTTTTTTGTCTGACTGGGCTAATCTTCGAAACGGCTGAATCGATTTCAATGAGATTCTATAGACATTTTAGAAGCAATAAGGAATACTTTAGCGCGGACAAAGTGGTTGGTAAAAGTAACAAAACAAAAATTTAAAAACATGATTGAAACTACTCTTTATTGCTGGAATAATAATTAGCATATTATATTAAAGTCAAAAAAAGTAAAATAATTTCGCATATTATTACACAAAATTACTAATTACATTTAACTTCTTATATTCTAAGTTACAAATACAGTACAGTGATAGGTATTTGCTGGAAATTATATAAACTCCTCAGGCTCTCTAGGGGCGTCCAAGTCTCTGTAATGAATTACCGGTCTAAAGTCACTTCCAGCGCCTCCACCCCTGCGTATCAAGCACAATACCGTGGTTAGAAATTTATTTTCATCAGAGTTAAATAAAATAGAATTAGTATTATTTTCATGCAATCATAACTTTGCAAATTTTCATATTTATCGTTTTGTTAACGAGTTTTACAAAACAATAAAAAAAAAAATATCACGCAAAGCGACGTAAAATCAATAAAGTACAAACCTGGCTCTTGGAGGCATGTAAGGCCTAGGACGCCCATATCCTTGATTGTAATATCTAGGTCCAAATCCATAAGAAGTTCCATAATTTCTTAAAATTAAAAAACAAAAATTATATGTATTTTATAAATAATACAATTAACTAACGGTGGATGACTGAAAGGGGGTGTCTCGTCTTTCCTAGGTTGCGGCATTTCCAGCATAGGACGTTTCACATCCTTCAAATAGTTATTGAAAAATTCGACCTCCTTTTTCACTTCCTCTATTTTTTCTGCATGTTTGTTGAAAATGTGTTTGCGCACGAAATCTGGCCCTGTGTAACAAATTAAACGAAAATTAATTATAGACATTATCATTATATTAATTAAATGCATTTATCATTTCTATCTTAGGATAACACGTATATATATACCTTTGAATTTTTTTCCTGATAAAGGACAGAGCCACTTGTCTTTGGCCAATTCTCTGGTATTCGCTTGTACAAATTTGTCAATTTCAGTGTCCACGTCTTTAAGAGCCATGCTGATCAATTTGACTTCGTTTTTATTTTCAGTGTTTCCTGGTTTTTCTGGTAAGAATTGTGTCATCTTTGCTTCCACAGCAGCACCAATGAACTGAGTTATATCAGTCTGAAAATAAAAATTGATTATTAAATATTGATATTGAATTAGTAAGAATATTTTCATCAAGATTAAAATTGTTACAAAACACTGGTCAGATTATGCCAATACTTTCAATAATTTGAAACATGAACATGAATTAATACAGAAAATTAACATTTAATTTGATGAAATAATCGATGCACGTAGAACAAAACTGTATTAAAATTCTATCGATACTGAACCAAAAAACAAGTGCTTAAAACTATTTCGATGGATATAGCAATAAAGAAAAATATTTCTTACTTTTGCAGTTGGAGGAGGACCCCTGGCGTGTAGGATTCCGCAACGGTTAGGCATTTCGTCTTCATTAGGATACTCACAATGGTTATAATAATCAACAGAATGAACTACACGTAAGTACAAGATGATTCTATCTAATACGGTGATAAGCGAATCATCTCGATCGACAGTTGTGGCAGCATCCTGGGGATCAGAACTGGGATCTAATCCAAGGAGTTCTTCTTCTTCTGCGCTCGCCTCTTCTATCAGATAATCGGTTATGTTGTGCAAAACTGGATTGTTTGAGACCAATCCAAACGTCTGAAATAAATAAAATATCACCTTTAGAAAACTTGTTTGTTAAAATTTATGAACGTTAAAGTACTTGTTGCGGTTTTTCTCCGGATTCATTTTCTTGCCAGAGCCCGGCTTTAGTGTCCAAATGTAAAGTAACTTTTGCCGAAATTCTGATGTCTGATCGAACAACTTGTTTGTGAGCAGTGATGCCGTTTACAGGACGTATGCGACGACTCAAGTCACGATTCACAATTGCTCCCAATTCGCAATCCCTCAGACGAATATTGTTAAGATTCCAACATATCTCCTTAATGTTAGCGTCTCTTTTAAAAGTAACCCATCCTCGACGCATCCAGCGACGTTCCGGTTGCGGATCGGCTAGAGCCACGCGCAAGAACCCATCATACCTAATTAAATGTTAAATTAACAATATAAGAGTGTAGTAATAAATAATAGGTTAATAATTAATTTACCTTGAACAAACTGCTTCAACTTCTTGTCGAGTTATTGTAGGTGCCAAGTTTCTTAGAAATATCGATGTAGTTTTGTGCAGTGCTCTGGGTTTTTCTGGTTTTGTGTCGTCTTCAATAGATTCGATTTTTTTCTTGTTAACTTCGTCTTCTTCTTTATCAGATTCTTTGTCCTTTTCTTGTTCTTTTTCTTTGGAGTCCTTGTTGCCTTTTTCGTCTTCTTCACTGTCGCTGCTTCTAGAAGAGCTACTACTGCTACCTGAGAAAGAACGTTTTCTTTTCTTTTCTGTAACATACAAAATTATAATAGTCATATATTGGTAAAGTTTGTGATGTAACAAAGACGTACCTCTGGGTTCTTCGGATTGAGCATCGTCATGTTTTGTACTGTTGGTTGGATCAATTTCTTCAGGTTTTGCCTCACCATTCTCTTCTGTCTCCATTTTTTCAGATTCTTTTGACTTTGAAATAGGCTCATTTTCGTCATCGTCTAATTCACCAGATTCTTTTATGTCGTTTGAAGCGTTCTTGTCTTCTGCTTCATTCTCTTTATCGTCGTCCTTTTTCGTTTCTTCCTTTTCTCCTGCAATTTCGCCATCTTCTTTATCTTGCTTTGCTTCAGATTTTGGATTTTCATCTCGAACTTCGATAACATCTTCGTTCGACTTATTATCTTGTTTCTTCTCCATTTCTGTAATAACAATATACTTACAAAATGAAATGATATTCGAAGAAAATAGCAGCAACTTGCCAGAATATTCTTGTTCAAGGAAAGTCAAGTCTTCCTCAGTTCCGTTTTCTAATTTAACCACAACGGTGTCCAATAATTTTAACAATTCGTTAGTTTTTGCTACATCAACACTTACACAATCTATTTTTCCACTTTTGAGTAGGTCCGTAAAAACATCCACCCTTTTCTAAATAAAAACGACTTTGAATTACACAACAATTGTTAACATATAATTATGAACATACCTTAAGGAAATTAGACTGTTCTTCCTTGCGTTTAACGGAATCCTCTGGATGATACTTCAAGCGAAACCTTCGAACAATAACATAAAGTTTTAGGAATTATGAATAACAAGTGAAAGTGGATAACCATACTGCCATTCGTTTCAAGTCAAAAGCTGTTCTACAAATAGATATATTCTTCAGAACATTTGCCTCACACTTTAAAATTTTCAACAGTATCGTTTGCAATAAAATCTTCATAAAGAAATATTGGGGGAAAAAGTAAAAATGTAAAGGCAAATGCATCACATCAGTATAACATTACTCATATAATTTAACTGTAAACTATTCTTACATTTCATAACTGTGATTGATGTTTCATTTTCAACATATATTACAAAATTTAATTTCTTATTGCATGAAGTGTATTAGTTTCTCTTTTTGGTTGTTTATATGTAAGGATAGTTGCTTCGATTTCTCTCACACAAGCCAAAAAATGATATAAGTAAATACATATAATAAAATTATAGATACATGGTAAAACGTGAATCTCACCTGCTTCATAAAACCCTAACAAAGTACGCGAAAGCGTATGCATTGCGCGCATAGCTTTATTTTTTAGCGGTACAATCTAATCCACAACATGGAGTTACAATTCATTGATGTATTTGAACATTTTTACTTTGTATTAAATTCGTTTTAAACGTAGAATATTCACGAGTTTATCGCAGTTTCACACACATTGAACACATAATTACATATAACGCAGTTGTCAGCTGACCTCTCGTAATGCTGTAGAGGAAAAAGGTTGTTTTATAAAAAACAAATCGTTTCATTGCGATAACTACTTATTACTTGAATCACTTTTATTTAAAAGAACAATTTATTTAATATCTTCTCTTTAACTATAATAGATAGTAGAGAAAGTCAGGCCTGAAAAGAAATGATTAGGGAGAAAATGCATGTGCTACTTTAAAAACAAGTTGATCTTGTTTATTATCTTAAAGTATTGCTAAAGTTAATTTTTGCATTCTGTTTCTTTGTACATCAAGCTATTTAGTTTGTTAATTAACCGAATCGATGTTTAAACCGACTGTTTGCAGAATTAGTTTAGTTGCTTATCAACTCATGATCTTGAAGAAAGGATAAAAATATATTCAGCAGTTCAAATATATCTATCGCATGTAATTCAAAAATCAAAAAGTTGTAAAGATAATAAGCCCATGCATTAACTTATAACATTAGCTAATAAAAATTATTTAATCCTAAGTAACACCTCAATAAAAAAAATTGAAACAGGAAATTAAAGAACACTTACCATTCATCGTCTTTGTGAGCTACAAAGAATTCGTTCAATTGCTGTCGTTGGAATTCCAACTTATACTCGTTGTACTTTTCAACTGCCTCACTGTCAGAAATGTTGTCATCCTGAGCTGCTAAAAAGGCTTTAAAAGACATCATAACAGGTTGTTGACTCTCTGGAGCTGCAGCTGGTGGTTCTCTGGAGAAATTCCAATTTCTTAAACAAGATACCAACAATATAAAGCAAGTTTTGCTCTAAACATTCTAATTTTAAAAACCAACGAAATCTAACAAAAATAAAACTGCAATACAAGAAATTAAGTTACTTCTACTTATGTATTAGCGAGAACTAAATAAACAAGTATAAAAATAAAATACTTTTAATACTAAAGTAATAACAGATCTGTATCTATTTACTGAATATAAAATGAAATTCAGTTTTTTTTGTTACCTGTGAGGTTGATGGTATGGCTGATAATGATTGTAATAGTTTTCACCATAATAGTCATGTCTCATTCTTTTAGCTTGTGGTTCCATGCTAGGGGAATATCCTCGATCTCTTACTGCTCCCCTATAATCCCTGGGTCTTGGCCGTGACCAAACATCCCTAAAATGGTTATATTTGTAACATTTAATCGCATCAATGCAGTAGATATTAAAAACATTTTACCTTTCTTGCCATTCATCTCGAGGACGAACGGTTCTTTCAGTGCTGCGATAAGTAGCTTCAGCACGTTCACCACGAAATTTGTCTCTTCTTTTGCGATCGTATTCATCGTCACTGTCTCCCATCTTAAAATGTGATAAAAACATAGGAAAGGATAAGGATTAACAATAAATTAATAAATTTAATAACAAGTTTTGAATCGACAGCATGCATACTGAATATTAAACATTTGTACTCACTTTTCATCGAAGATTTTAATTATTTTATAACTTAATAATCTTAATATTGTTTATCGTGTCGATTACTCCCTTTTTTTAAATATGTAATTGTTATTTCAGATTTAAATAAAAATAATTAATGGCGATTGCNTACTGAATATTAAACATTTGTACTCACTTTTCATCGAAGATTTTAATTATTTTATAACTTAATAATCTTAATATTGTTTATCGTGTCGATTACTCGCTTTTTTTAAATATGTAATTGTTATTTCAGATTTAAATAAAAATAATTAATGGCGATTGCACGAATATTACTATAAACGACCATAGCGGTAATTAAAACCATGAAGACGTGAAAAAAGTCTCGTCACTCAGGTTTATAAATTGTGTCTAATGTATTCCTATTCTATGTTTAGACACATATCAATTTTTTTTAATTAAGAACTGTAACGAAAAATTACTAAATTCATGTTTGTAATATATTTTTATTTTGAAAAATGTTGTAATAATAATTTAGTTGAACAAAACGAAAATTAAAAAATGAAAATGTCTACGAGGTGGTAATAACCACCACGTAACCTATGCCCATTTAATTATTTCTATGATTTAACCCATAGATAATATTTAACCGAACCACTACATATCTCTTATCTATGACTATAATTTTAACTTTTTTTACCAGTTTCTATTATATTTCTATGATCAATTTTAACCTGTGGTTTTAACCATAGATAGTTTTAAAGGGTTTAACCTTAAAATTAAT